TTTCTTATAGAGAAAAATTTAATGGGGGTGTCGTGAGAATAAGATAATCAAAATTTTAAACGAAGTTTTATCTCAGACCGCCCTGGTGGAAGAGGTAACAATAACAATTTTCGGTAGGCTAAAAATCAAATTAATAACAATAGACCTCCTTCAAAGACGTCGATAATTAGTGACGATATTATAGCCGCGGGAGCCTCTAATTGAATTTTCTATGTAGTTTTATTATTTAATACACAATAATAATATACATGTATATAATATTTTTTATTTCATATTTTTCAATGAATTCGATTGTCATATTTTCCCACGGTTAGATTATTATACATATTATTAATGTGACATTAATCGCACCTATTCATAACAAGTATTTGGATTTCATCAAAGATTATGAAGGCGATGAATATGAAATGTACACAAGAAAACAAATATCAGATATAATATACAAATAAAATCAGCTGTGTAATTTTTAATAATCAATTATTATCACAGTATGTCTAAAAATTGAGTAAATTAAAAGTTTTTAGTTATAAAAATAATTAAAAATTTTTTTTTCAGTAAAATCTGTAATAGAAAAATACATCTTTCTAATAGGAACTTTCGATTCTAATATAACTGATAATTAACTAATCTAATCAACGAGATTATAAATTTCGTACTTAACTATAAGCTAATATGATTGCTATTGATAAAAAAAAATCACGAGACATCCAAATAATACAATATTATTTCAAGAAGAATGATTTACTCCTACTTTAGTAACACAAGATGGTATCCTGTGTATAATAATTTATCTATATAACGCCTAAGAAAAATAAGTTGATTTTTTGAGAAAGAGATATCACTTAAGCCCCAACCTTACGTTTTACTTTAGTAAATTTCACAATGACATGACTAGTATAGTTATTAAACACCTCACGACGAATGAACACCTTAATGTTACTATAAATTTTAGCTCTATATTATTCTAAATTGGAAAATATATGACCTTAATACCAATATTAGAAACCCTGATATCGATTTTTAAATGTGCTATATAAAATATTATTCAATGACCGAGCTTTGATAGCTTTAACTGATACTTAATCAGGGGTTTTTCTTTTTTATTTGATATCATTAAAAATTAAAAATAGATATATCCTAATAAAAGATATAAAAACATAATAATAAATATGTTATTAAATGTGTTATATTCAATAAATCATTAATTGTTCGATAACTTGACCAGTTTTCTGAATATTATAAAATAAAATATTTACTATAAAAAAAAGGGTTGTCTAGTGTTCCTTCAAGGTCATCATTATAGAAAAATTTACTATAAGTAACTTGTAAATTAATATGTTATATTATCAAGTGTATACGCTGTGTTAATGTTTAAAATTATTAGGTTGTATAAAAAATTACAATTTTTATAAAAATATAAATTATACATATATTTCAATCATATTAACTTTATTTAAAGATTTAAACATTAAGACGAGCTTTGATGATTTTTTAACATTTATTGTGTTCCTAAATTTAATATGAACAAGACTGTATGTCGAAAAAATCCTTACTATACCCGTTGAAGAAGATAATGGCTATAAATAGCTATAAAAAACTTTTATTGCAAATAAATAGATGAAGGTAGCTTTTTCTATTTAAACAATTGAAATCTTTTTAATTGTAGTTAAGAATTCTTAAGCATTATTTTTAGTCTTCATTTTTCTATTATGTCCAACCCTTTTAGTAATATTCTATTTTGTATCGGATATCTATTAAATGCTACCCCACAACAGAATTTATTAAAAAAATCTTTAATATTTTTAATACATTACATAAAAATATACATTATCATGTAGTTATATTACATTAAATGTCATATTATGATATTTTAAAGTATGTACCAATGATTCTTACTATTATTTTCATTTGAAACGTTTAAAATTTGTTTTTTTTTGTTTTTAACGACTAAAAAAAACAGAAAAAATCGTATAAAACAAAAAAACTTGATTTAAACATTTAAGACTGATTTTTTTAATATATTTTTATCAACCTTGGGTTCATGTGACTCATGTAAAAACTTTTTTATACGTCAACTAGAAGAGTAAAGCTTAACGTTAAATTTGAACGACAACATAGCTTACGCCGGCTCCGAATGTTCTATCCTTTACAATATTATGTGACAAAATGAAAGATATGATTGTAATACGGTGTGTTTTGATAAACTTCCCAATGCTAAAATGGTTTTTCAAATTGACTTTTTGAAATTTGCTATTTAAAATAATTCATAGAATTTGAACAAATAAGTCTACCGCATTTTTATCTTCAGCTCCTCCTTGTTTGATAAATGCTAAAAAAGAACGAGACTTGTTACTAGTTACTACCGACGCCGATGACGTCAATTGAGTAATAATTGACGTCAAAGGGACGCGCAACAAGTACCCATGGTAACCATTTACTAACCACGCTATGATGACATCAGAAAAACCGTTTAATTATTGATCGGTAGAAAGATTTCATGAATGAACGCTACCGCAAGGGAAAATGGTGCATCGAAATCGAAAGGACGATAAAAAAATAGGATGGACGTTGTTTCCGACAGTCTGTAGACCCTTTGGAAATTTCCTCTAAAAAATTATTAAATCCCGTGACCTTTGTAAGTATTATTTTGCAAAATAATACATCTATTTATAAAAACCTATGTAGCTGATTTTGATATTAACAAAGACGACATTTTTTTTGCATGTGAAAAATGAATAATTACATTGAATCTCAAATACTAAAAATTGAATACCTAATCTATTTTTCCCTAATTGCCAGAAACAATAAATAATGAATTAACGAATGAGTAATAAGTCGTAAATATTTCAAATATCACCATGAGTGATGATAAAATACTTTTTTAACTATGAATTCTACTCCATAAATAGCATATGTATATAGAGTACTTGATACATCGGTACCTCTCCGCACAACACCTAAATTTACAGTGAGATATATTACATCACACTCAATTGATTTTTATGGAAATAATGGAATTTTTTATGCAAACAAATTATATTGAAATAATTTTTTATTATTGACCACGAACCAAAATATTTAAGAAGTAAATATTAAATTTCTCATTAATTTTATCATTGTATTTGAATAAGCAATGACATTTTAAAATGCAGTTTTTAAACTTAGAGCCGACCGTGAATTGACAAAAATTCTATTGAAACTGTACCCACCCACTCTGCTTTCTAAATTAAATGGTGATAAAAAAAAAAGGTTATTGATTTACGAATCATTTTTCAAGTATTCAAAAACCAATTTGAATGAACATTTTTATTGTTATTCGAATACATATTCTGAATACAGAAAAAAGTATATTTACAAGATTGGCAATTTTTCAAGGTTTTATTATAATTTGTTACTGTTGAATTATATCTATTTATTTTACGGTGATGTAATTTTTTAATTTTATGAGTTGTGAATTTTTGTAAAAAATATTTAATTACTTAAAAATAAATTATATTTTTACATTTGATGATAAAATTATTAACAAATTTTCTAAAAAATACCGTGTATTTACAATACTTATTACAGTTGGTACTGTTAGTTACGCCTTTCTTCGTTAAGGCAGTGATTACTTAGACGACAGCTGCTCATTTTGTTGGTCACATTGTATTTACTATCCTATATACTATATCATTGATAATACTTTTAGATTGTAAGATATTATCATCAAATTAACAATATTGTTAATTCTTTTTCTTTTTGTTGTTATTTGAGATTAAATAACTATTTTATTGATCTTTATAATAGCAAGAAAATATCCTCTGTTATTGTTACACTGCAAAGTTTTCCTTTAAATTTTAGAAACGATATAAATCAATATGTTTTCTGATATTAAGTAAAGATTTTGAAGTCGTTCATTAGTGAAAAACTTCATTTGTATAGTCTAAATAAATTAATCATCATATAATTTGTCATAACTGTTTTCAACACTCAGTCAACATTGAAGGTAAATTGTACATATCTAATATTATGTTTTAACATAAATAATTTCTATTAAAAAAATCATACATTTTTTAAGTATTTAATCTGTATGAAAAGTAAGTAAATTTTTAGTTTATAGCAATAAGAAAAATTAAGTAATATGATTGTTGAAATAGTATAAATATGGTAGTATGTAAAAACCAATGACNAAGTAATATGATTGTTGAAATAGTATAAATATGGTAGTATGTAAAAACCAATGACTAATCTAGAAATCAATTCAGTATCTAGTGAGTATAGTAGATATTAAAAGTTTGTTATTGATAGGATAATGAGAGTAAGCATGTACCATATACCATATACCAAAGTATAAGAAAAGGTGCAAAACACAAGTATTTGGGTTTATGAAAACCTAGGATATGAACAATATATAACTAGTAAAGAAACTTGTAGCAACCAAGTACTAGGATTGATAGTAATAAGCGTCTGTTATAATGCATGCAACTCAATAATTGCTGATTTCAAAACTTATGAATCCATTAATCATTTTTGTAAGGAAACTACTTACAACTGACTATTTTAGATTTTACACAAATAATAAAAATGTTATTTTAACATAGTCTAACAATGCATAAATTATTTTTTTAAAAATGACTACCAAATGTTAATTGTATTAAAAGTTATTGATGTTCTTAGTTTCATCTATATAATTATTTTTAATATATATTTTATTTTAAATAATATTAGTTGAAAATTAAAAATAACTTTTATATGTATATTATTTATGTCTTTAAAGATTAAATACCATATGAATAAAGCTGCTATTTTATTTTAGTTTATGCTGAATGTTTTTGTTATATTAGTCCAAAAAAACTAATATAAATTGAATATAATATTAAACTTTTTAAAAGCAATATATTTTATACTTTTACTTTTATTTGTTTGGTGTTTACAAAAGTGTTTTTATCATATGGATCAACATATTAATACATTTATTTAAGTATTTACATTTTATAATATATATTGGTTTTTTTTTACAGGGACGTGGGATTGGTGTTCCCCTCCACCAAGATTCCATTCAACCCTAGGTGCACGATCCAGTGTACTTCATATGGGTTCAATGGAGCCCGATTCACCATTACCTAACAGACTAACTCATGTTTCTGATAAACACCCAAGATGTGTTCTTGCAGAGTTCAGTGTTATGCGACGTCATCGAGAGTTATGTGATGTCGTATTGAATATTAATAATCGTAAAATATTTGCTCATCGAAATATATTATCTGCTTGTAGTCCATATTTTCGTGCCATGTTTAATGGAGACTTGGCTGAGTCTCGGCAAACTGAAGTTACAATACGTGATATAGATGAAATAGCTATGGAATTGTTGATTGAATTTTGTTATACTGCTCGAATCACTGTTGAAGAATCTAATGTTCAAACACTTTTACCTGCTGCTTGTTTATTACAGCTAACTGAAATTCAAGACATCTGTTGTGAATTTTTAAGAAGGCAATTAGATCCTTCAAACTGTCTTGGTATTAGAGCTTTTGCTGATACACATTCTTGTCTTGATTTATTGCGTGTTGCTGATAAGTATACTCAACATAACTTTCAAGAAGTAATGGAGAGTGAAGAATTTCTTTTATTACCTGTTTCACAGTTAATTGATTTAATCGCTAGTGATGAATTAAACGTTAGAACAGAAGAACAAGTTTTTAATGCTGCAATGTCCTGGGTTAAGTATAACATATCTGAAAGACGTTCAAATCTCCCTCAAGTTCTCCAGCATGTTAGGTTACCTCTTTTAAGCCCAAAATTTTTGGTGGGTACAGTTGGAGCTGATTTATTAGTTCGTAGTGATGAAACATGTAGAGATCTTGTTGATGAAGCTAAAAACTATTTGTTACTACCTCAGGAACGACCTCTAATGCAAGGGCCTAGAACTAGACCACGTAAACCAACACAACGAGGTCAGTTGTTATTTGCTGTTGGCGGATGGTGTAGTGGTGATGCTATTGCTTCTGTTGAACGTTACGATCCTCAAACAGAGGATTGGAAGCTTCAAGCTCAAATGAGTAAAAGAAGGTGTGGTGTAGGAGTAGCAGTTCTTAATGATTTGTTGTATGCTGTTGGTGGACATGATGGTCAATCTTATCTTAATAGTATTGAGCGTTATGATCCACAAACTAACCAATGGTCTTGTGACGTTGCACCTACAACTTCTTGCCGTACAAGTGTTGGTGTTGCTGTATTAGATGGATTGTTGTACGCTGTTGGTGGCCAAGATGGAGTACAATGTTTAAGTCATGTTGAACGTTATGACCCTAAAGAAAATAAGTGGAGTAAAGTAGCTCCTATGACTACTAGAAGATTAGGTGTTGCAGTTGCAGTATTAGGAGGTTATTTGTATGCTATTGGGGGATCAGATGGTCAATCTCCTCTAAGTTCTGTTGAAAGATATGATCCAAGACAAAATAAATGGACTATAATGGCTCCAATGTCAACTAGAAGAAAGCATTTAGGATGTGCAGTTTATAAAGATATGATATATGCAGTTGGAGGACGAGATGATTGTATGGAGTTAAGCAGTGCAGAAAGATATAACCCTCATACAAACTCATGGTCACCAATTGTGGCTATGACTTCAAGACGAAGTGGAGTTGGATTGGCAGTAGTTAACGGTCAACTTTATGCTGTTGGTGGATTTGATGGATCTGCATACTTGAAAACTATAGAGGTATATGACCAGAGCCAAAATCAGTGGAGACAATGTGGTACTATGAATTATAGAAGGCTTGGAGGAGGAGTTGGTGTCATGAGAGCTCCTCAAACTGATAACAATTTCTAGATATTTAAAGCTTACAATACTATTTACTGATTTATATGTTTTCATATTCAATTATATTATGTGATTAAAAATCTCTTTAATTATATTTACCTATTTCACAAGTATTATAATTATTATTTTGTATAATTTTGTAGTCCTATATCTTTATAGCATGTATTATTAAATTCTTTGATTGTAAATATTTAGCTTAAAAATTGTGTGTTAAAAATAAATATTATATGTGGTTATAAATTAATGTTTTTATTTTGTTTTTTGAGATTAGTATAAAATATAAAAAATTAATATAAGAGTTTAAGAAATCCAAGATTAAATAAAAAATGTATAGACCAACAACATTAATATAAAAATGAAAAGTGCATATGTTAAAAAAAATTTTAATCTTTCATTATTTAAATTCTTAAAAATTTTAGTTTTTTCACAGTAGTTTGTTAACTATTTTTTTTATAAAAATAAACTTTTAGACAATGCTTTAACATAATATCCATACTAAAATAAAAGATTTTCAAATTATTTGAACATTCTACTTCATAAAAAAAAATTATAAGATTCATTTACTGTCATTTTCCACTAATTTAATATTGGTGAATTAGACATTCGACATTTTTTTAATTTAGTATCATCCATAAAAGCTCTAAATTATTATAGTGTTATAGTTTAGTTACACCTCTACTAAAATATCGTTACTATTAACTTCTTATGACTTTCATTTCTTTTTAAATTATCTTTTTCATTTTATAAAATGATAAAAATAAATGGTTTTTAACTTTGTACATTTACTAAACACATTTGAAAAATATAATTATATGCAAGAAGTAAACAATTATACACCCTCACTACATACCTACTCTATTTATTAAAATGTTTGTAACTCAATAAATTTTTGTCCTAAATTTGTTATCGATTCATCAAAATTTTTTGTATGAAAAGGGCTAAAAATTACAAAATTTTGAATAAAATAAAACTTTTTAAATCTTTCTTGTTAGTAATTAATAATAACAAATTTGCTTTAAATGTAGTCTAAGAGGGTAATAATTATTTAAAAAAAGGCTAAATTATAACAGAACGATGACTATATTATAAATTATGAGCGTCGTTACCTAAAGCTGAGCAGTGTTATTTATCTGTCATAAAATATTATTTTACTTATAAGATAAAATTTCGAATGTATATTATTTATGTTGGTCACACTTGTTGATATATTCCGGAATGTTAACATCATTGTTTTATGCCGTACAGGTTTTTTTGATAAGTGATATAATTCAATAAATAAATTATAATTCAAGAAGTTCATCCCGTTATAATAAAATGTCACTGTTAAGTGTAATTTGTATGTTAATACCTATTTTATCATGAAATTTACCTATTCCAAATTCTTTATTTAGTTTCTAGATAGTTAGTGCTTATTATTAGTTAATTTAAAGGTTTTTAATATTTTATTTGGTTTTTATCGTGTTGATTATTTTATTTTTTAAGATAATCATTTTATTTAAAATCCTACATTTATAACATAAATTAAGGTAGTTAAATCATTGAATTATTTAGTATGTATCATAATTATGATCAATCTAGCTTTTACTTAAATTATATTTGTTAGTAGCTGTAAACTATAAAAATATTCGTTATCTTATGTAGGAAACTTATTGTTATTATTGCAGAATGACACAAATGGAGGAACAAGAAAAACAACTAGAGATTGCTTTGGCATCTGTTCAAAAACAAGGAGTACATATGAAAATGTGTTTAGATAAAAATAAATTAATGGAAGCATTAAAACATGCATCTGCTATGTTAGCAGAACTTCGTACATCATTGCTATCACCGAAAAGCTACTATGAACTCTGTATTCTTTTTTAACACAATTAATCTTAACTTACTAGCTATTAAATTTTTTCCTTAATTTTAAATACAGTTATGAAAGTTACTAATGAGTTATGCTACTTAGATTTATACTTAGTAGAAGAATTTGAACGAGGTCGCAAAGTAGATGATTTGTATCAAATTATTCAGTATGCAGGAAATATTGTTCCAAGATTGTAAGAATTTTAAATATTTAAGATCATACTATTTATCCCTAGCCTTTTTTTAACTATTTATTTACATTGTTTTAGATATTTGTTAATAACAGTTGGATTGGTTTATATTAAAACTAATACTAATTTAAAACGAGATCTTTTGAAAGATTTGGTTGAAATGTGTCGAGGTGTTCAACATCCTTTACGTGGCTTATTTTTACGGCATTATTTATTGCAGTGTTCTAAAAATGTATTGCCCGACATACCTGATAATGAAGAAAATGAGCATCCTGAAGGAACTGTAAGACATATTATTAAAAATTAAGGGCTTTGATGAACAAAAATTAGTCTATGGGTTTCTTAGTCTAATCTATTTCATAAAGTCTTTGCTATTCGCAATATGCGTTTGAAAATTACTTAACAATAAGCAGTATACTAAGTTTAGTTAGGAATGTGTTGTGCCTTGGTAAGTAAGTATGAAGGTTTATTTTTGTTGCGCCGAGCTGTTTAGATTTTCCTATTCATTACAGAAATGAAGATTTTCATAGGGATGCTAAAGTTATATTAAGTAATAATAATAATTTTTATCTTAAAACAGAGGTTGAAGACCACTATGATTTTAGCTTTAGATTAAAGAACTTTATAAATATATCTATTTAAAATAATTTTTATTATACATTTTAACAATTATTTTTTATATATTTCTTTTGTTAGTATAAAAAAACATAAAATTGTCTGTTTTATAGCAAAATCATAGACAGAAAAATTTCCAATGTTTAATCCATGTTTTGGAATTTTTAAATTGTTTTTGATGTAATTTTAATTAAAGTTATGAAATTTTCAAAAAAAAAAACTAGTTTATCTAAAATTGATGTTGTACAAATTTGTGAATTTTATTAATACTATTGTTTTACAGGTACGTGATTCAATTGATTTTATTTTAATGAATTTTGCTGAAATGAATAAGTTATGGGTAAGAATGCAGCACCAGGGACATTCCAGGGAAAAAGAACGCCGAGAAAAAGAGCGTGAAGAACTAAAAATTTTAGTTGGAACTAATTTAGTTCGATTATCTCATTTGGATAGTATTACATTAGATAAATACCGCAAAGTATATAATAATCCATAAATTTAACTTTAATTATTTTGTAAATTTTTTAAATTTAAATTCTTTAGGTTGTTTTACCTGGTATTTTGGAACAAATTGTTAGCTGTAGAGATGCTATTGCTCAAGAATACCTTATGGAATGTATCATTCAGGTTATAACAAATTCATTATTTTTTTACTTAATTGAGAAGGTTTATTTTCTTCATGCTTTACAACTTTAAATTAAACTGTTTTTTTTAATTTCAATTTAAATCAAAATTTACTAAGTCACAAAGATATAACAAATACAGTTTATTTTTATTAAATTATCATTTCATTATATATTTTTAGACTATGTTAAAAGCATATTTATTATTACTTGACTCTAATTAGAAAAGCATTTCAATATATATAGTGAGTATGTGATACTGACAAAGTACATATACACCAGTACAAGCTGTATCACACCTTCTCTATGTTTTTATTATTATAAAAGCCATGTCATCACAGGTCATTTTATATTTTTTTATTTACTATATTTATTAAAATATTTGTAACTCAGTTAGTACTTATCCCAAAGTTCACTAAAGAAATTTGTATAAAAAAATTACTATTTTGGTATTTTAAAAGAGTAAGAATTAATTTATTTTTCTTGTTATTGTCAAATAATAATAAATATGCTTTTAAATGGTCAAAGATAGCAATAAATATTTTAAAAATAATAGTTATATTTAAAATGATTGGATTTGTCATATCTTCCTGACTCACTCTGTATATAAAATATATAAAGGAATTTAAGAAGACAACAATTTATGAAATTTCTGTGATTAAAAGCCTAAATTTAATATATACAAAAATTCAACAAGAACCATTTTTCAGAAAGTAATTTAAAAACTTAAGTAATTATAATACTATATTTTATAATAATATTAATAATTATATTTTAATATCTTATTTACAATTAAAACTGTAGTATCATATTTTGACACAAAAAATATTTAACGATATAACTTCACATAATACACAAAACCTTGAAATCATATTCTTCTATTTTTCATCTTATGTCTCCTAGCCATAAAATTATTTCCTTTATTTCATTAAATAGGTATTAAAGTGCAATTATATTTAATTTTCTTAAGATGTATATCCTAGAATTATGTATTAAAATAACTTTTGAAGTTAAATTATTTTTAATTAAATTTAAAAAATGTATTTCATAGGTATTCCCAGATGAGTTTCATCTTTATACTTTGAATGTATTTTTAAAATCATGCTGTGAACTTCAACCTTCTGTAAATGTCAAAACTATTGTAATTTTGATGATAAATCGTCTTACTGTGTTTACATTTCATAACTCAAATGCCTCTGAAGTTAAATTGTTTGAAGTGCTTACTGAACAAATTGCCAACATTATTCAGGTTTGTCTTATAATACAAATTATTGTCTATCTATATTTATTAGGGATCTTAAACAGTATTTTTTAGTGATATCAAATATAATTTGATATAAAATATATCGATATTGTTATAAATAAATTTTTATCCAAATTTTTTAATTTTGGTACCAATTTTTAAAGTTTAAATATTGGAATGAATTGTCGTGTTCGTGATAAAATGTCTTTATAAAATTTCAATTTTAAACATAAAATTCTATTTTTACAAGCCAATTCAAATTTATGTTGAGAATATTATTATATTTCAATATAATATCTATATCAAAAATTTACTAGAAAAACTGCTACAATTGAAATTATATTGAAATTTGATAACTGTTGTTAATTCCTAATATTTATAATTAAAAATAAACATTATAATTTAATTTCTATATTAAAAGACTAAGTTTAATATATATTAAGAATCTAATTTATGTGACATGTTTTAACTTATTCAGGAATTTCAATTTTTCCAAATTTAAAGTATTTAAATCCCACAGAATTTCAGTAAAATAAATATCTATATTTAAAAAATTCAACAATTTTCAATATAAAAAATCATATTAATCACTCGCTCTATCCTATGTATGTATGTATGTATGTATGTTAATACATTTTTGTAGAATTAAAAATATTGTTATGTAACTACCAAACTTAACTTGCTTTAAAGTTTTATTTTTTATACCTAACTATTAAAAAATTTAATTACAAAAAAGAATGTTATGTAATCTTGGAAATAACATTTAGTATAAGTATTTATTTTTAATGTGTCAGGACTGATTGTAAATAGAGTTCTAATTAGTTAATTAAAGGTTTAAATAATATTTGAAACATTGAATTTGGATTTATATTGATCTGACTATTATATTTCATTATTATTATGTGATTTACTAAATATCTTTTATATATTAGAGCCGTGATTTACCACTAGAAGATACAGTTTCCCTACAAGCAGCTATGGTTGGTTTAGCTTTAAAGTGTTATCCAGATAATTTGGATTATGTAGATAAATCTTTGCAGACAATTTCTGATACTTTTGCTCGACGTAAAATTGAAAAGTATGATTAATTACATCTCATATTGTTATTATATTAAATAAATTTATTATCTAGAATAAGTCACAAAAACCCAGTATCTCGAGAGTTAATGACTCTTATGAAATTACCTATTGATAATTATGGTGATCTTTTATCAGTTATGAAGCTTAAGCATTTTCCAGAAATAATTGAGTATTTTGATTATACTGGTCGTAAAACTATTGCAATTTACTTACTTCAAAATGCAGTACAATGTAGAACAATGATTCCTACTGTAGAACAAGTTAGTTATACATATTTAATATGTTACTTCATATTTTATTTATTAAAAAAAAAATTTTAAATGATAGGCTAACTTAGTTCTTACAATGGTGTCACCTTTAGTTAAGGACCAATCAGATCAACCAGTTGGTGAAGAAGATCCTGAAGATTTTGTTGAAGAACAGAGTCTTTTAGGAAGGTACAAATTTTTATTTGATGTTTAATAGTTTATAAAATATCTAATGTCTTGTTTATTTTTATTTTTTAGATTTGTTCATCATATGAAATCAGATGAACCAGATTTACAATTTCAGATTTTAATGACAGAAAGAGAACATTTCAGTCAAGGAGGAAATAAACGTATTTGTTATACTCTACCACCTCTAGTTTTTCAGGCTTATCAACTTGCATTGATTTATAGTGCAAGAAGAGAACAAGTTGGCTATAAATAAGTTACTATTAAATTGTAATGTTAATTAAAAAATATTATTACTTTAGGATGAGTTATGGGAAAAAAAATGCAGAAAAATTTTTCAGTTTTGCCATCAAATAACTTTAGAGTTAACTAAAGCTGAATTAGCAGAATTACCACTTAGATTATTTCTCCAAGGAGCTCTTACAATATCACAGATAAATTTTAAAAACTATGAAACTGTTGCTTATGAATTCTACTCTCAAGTAATAATATTAGATGATAATGTTACTCATTAAGTCTTAACGAAAGTTAATATTTATTGTATTGAATAATTTTAATCTAGGCATTCACACTTTATGAAGAAGAAATTTCAGAAAGCAAATGTCAGTTGGCAGCTATTGTGTTACTTATTGGTACTTTTGAGAAAATAAATTGTTTTGATGAAGAAAATGCTGAACCAGTTCGAACTCAGTGTGCTTTAGTAGCTTCAAAATTGCTTAAAAAACCTGATCAATGTAGGGCAGTTTCTGTTAGCTCACATTTATTTTGGTCTGCTCAAAATAATCTAGGCAATCCAGTAAGCTTTATTATTAACATTAATTAATTATTTATAAGATGAGTATATGAATAAATATGTAAAAATGAAAAAGATTGATATTTGAAGAATGAAATTAGCATAATTTCAATTTCAAAAATATAAAAAATAAAATATATATTTTTATATGTATAAATATTTAGGTTCTTAAATTATGATTTGAATATTGATGACATTAATATATATATATATATATTAAAAGATTTGGTATTAAAATCAATAATTAACCATTAATAAATAAATAATAAACAATCAAGCATTTATTATATTGATAATTTATGTTGTTTATTAAATTTGGATTTGTTTTAGATTCAAGATGGCAAACGAGTAATGGATTGTTTAAAAAAGTGTGTGAGGATAACAAAACAGTGTATGGAAACATCAGTTCAAGTTCAATTGTTTGTTGAATTACTGAATTATTATATTTATTTTTATGAAAGAGGAAATAATAATGTAAGTTAAATTAATGTAAACTCTTATAATTAAAATTTGACCTAGTAATCTTATTATGTGATAAAAACAGTGATAGAATTTTATGAAATACTATTAAAATATATATTCCTATGTCATATTCCAAAATTTTTTTAGGTAACTGTGGATATTCTTAATCAATTAATAATTCAAATTAAGAAAGAAATTACTAGTTTGAGTCCAAATGAAGAAACAGAACAGATATCAAAACATTTTGAAAATACAATTTCTCATTTGCGTAACAGAATTGAATCATCAGACAATGATGATTCAATTTATAAAGCTTTAGAAGGTTTAATATTATAATAATTGTATTTAATTTTTATTTAGATATGGATAGTTAAGTTCAATATAATACTATTTATATGTTATTATTTTTAATTTATTTTTATTTTACACACATATTTATATTTAATTATTGTTTATTTTATTAAATTAATGTTATTCATCTTCATATTAAAATAAAAATGATAGATTTACTTCTAAAATTTATATGAGTAGTTTAATGAAATGTTTTATTATATAAATTTATATACATGTATGTACTATTGAAATATAAAATGTATATAATTTACTGTGTTTAGTTTGATTTTTGTTACTTTAAAATCTAAGATACTTTTGGTGTATAACTTATGCCTATTAATTTATATTATATTAACATAACTTGTCTTTTGTTGTAAAATATTAGTAATTAATATTTTGTAAATATTTAATATCTGGTACTCTAACCTAGATTAATATTACATATGTGGTTTATAATACTTGTCGAAATTACTATAAATAATACAAATTAACCAAGAGCACAAAAATAAATAACTAAAAATTTAAATGTAAATTGGATAAATATTTAAAATTATTTTTAAAGGTTATTCATAGATATAATAATACTCAGATTAATAAGCTCCTTAATTAATCTTCTAAATCTCATTATTAAAATATTGTTAAATATTAATGTATTTTAATATTCACTTTAATAAAAAATCAATTGTTGATTGTATAATTAACTCCCTTTAATATAGTCATAAAATAAATAAATAATTCCTTCAAAGTTATACCATGTTACTTTTAAATAATTTGAACAAGAACACATTGACTTTAAGCAGAGTAGTGGACAAAATCATCCAAGATGAAAATATTTGTGTTGCAATGATAGAGTTTTACTTTAATTAAGTGGAGTAGTAAAAATCCACCTTTCGTATTAACCCCGCCTACCAACGAAGTTTGAAAAATCTTAAGGAGTATTACTATATGCCCACCTATTTAATTTTTTTGTATTACATTTTAGTAGACGACTTGCTTAGCTCTATCAGGAAAGCGTTCGATTCTATAGTACTAGGCTATGTAAGTTTTCCCATCCTTTGATACAAGCAATATCTTTTGAGAGCGTAGTTAAACATAAATAAATAAATATTAGAATTAAATCATATAAATTTTTAAATTGTCGGATAGGCTAATTTTATTTTTGAGGAAAAATCCTGAACACACTGAAAAGGTACATATCAGGGTGTCCAGTCTAATAAAAATATCTAGTTCTACCTATGAGGATATTGAAAAATTTTTTAAAATATCAATGATCAATAGTTTTACACAATAGTTTTTAAAGTTGAGATCAAGTCAAAATTAGAATCAGACACGTTAATTAGCCGCTTAAAATAAATGTCAAACGACAATAATTTCTAAATGAAAACATTTTTTGAAAGTTGTTATCTATGTTTTCTTTTTAATTGACGTAGTATTACAGTTTCGATATTCGTACAAATAATTTGGATTTTTTTGATGTTTATCATAAAGTTTATGTCTATAATGAAATAGTTGTTTTATGTCCAGTTTTTATTATACGCAAAATATTTGAGGGGAAGTAATTTCAAATTTTAATCAACATACAGCTCATGATAAATAATAAGTGATAAGGATATCATTTTTACAGTTAACCATCATGTACCCTAATTAAATCGAGTGAATATAAGTTAAGTTTATTAATAAATAAATAAAAGCTCTTATAAATGACTCCAAGGTGGATAAACATCATTTTTTTTCTGAATATTTTATTTGTCATTTTTTATTTATTTTTTTTTTATAGACTTAGAAATTTGTGTTTAAGATCTCGTTGGAAATTCAAACAGTCATGGTACTTACATATTTATAATAAATTTTATTTCTATTATTTAAGGGGTTGAATGAAATAAGTTATTAACTCGCATTTTTAAACATTTTTTGAAATACATTTTTTTTTATCATTTAAATATGTTAATTTTTGCTTAAATGTATGTTTGAATTATTTTTTATGAAACAATCAATTTTTTCAAAAATAGTTTTTAAAATTTTTATTCCCTTAACCATTAAATTGTTTTAAGTATTTATAATATTAAACATGTAATAAATTATGAAACTATTAATTTCATTAAAAATAGAAATATCTTCATTATTCTAAAGAATAAGTCAATTAAATTTGTTTTAAATCAAATTTCTTATTTCAAACAATTAGGACCAATTAAATGATAAAATGAAATCTCTTCAAGTATCTAAATCTGAATGTGAAGCGATTAATTCTAAGGCTATTGTTAAATATTCATCTGTACTTCGGCCTGCTAATTTTGCACATCTGCAATGTAATACAGACCTTAATTTACCACCATCTAATTGGTTGAGCAGTGCAGCTGAATCATATGGATTGCGTCATGTGCCATCTCATTCTGATGGGTTTTCAAGGTATAATCAGTCTTTTGAATACAGTAATAAGTGTAATGAACTTTCATATTGCTTATATTATTTTAGTTTTCAAATGGCACATATGTTTCCTGACTGTATAGGAGAAGTTGATGTTATTTCTGATGCTGAGAATATTAAACGTCTGTTAAAAATACCTTATAGTAATAAATCTGTAAGTATATTAACTTTTTGACTCTTGCTTTATCTTATATGTAACAGCAAGAGTCAAAAGGTTCGTTTATATTATATTTTAACAAATAATATACTTTATTTGTTATTTTTAACAAAAAATATTCTGATTTGTCTAATTTTTATCTATTTAAATATTATAGGTTAGTATGATGATCCATAGAATTGAAAACACACTCCTCATAGATGAATTTGATGTTCACAAGTATCTATTAGTAAAAACTGAAGATGATTGGGAATGGTTAAGGAAATTCTTCTTCAAAAATATTTTGGAATCATTGGAAATGAAGGTAATTATTAACAAAATTAACTTAATAATTAATATTAAGATAATATGTCATATTTATTATTTAATATGTATAACAGTAAATGTAGTTAGTAATATTTGGTTACTTTTCAAAAGTTAACTACTCATATTACTGATCTAAAAAAAACTGTTAAAATAAATGTCATTTATATAACTACAAATAAATTTAATAATTTATTTACATAGGAAAAATGCATTACTCACAAAATAAACACATTTGATGTTATACAACAAAGAAGTTTGAATTCAAAGTTTTTGCATTACAGTATAGCAGATTCATCAAATAGCAATTGTGATAGTCAACTTCCTATTAAAATTTTGCCAAAACCTAGTTCAACAGTAAGGTCTAATTAAAATATCAATAAAATAATATAAATTTCATTTTTATTTCTTTTTTATTTCTTTTCTAAGTCTATTCCACCTTTACCAGAACCTACACCAGAGGAAGAATTTCCTGATGATCCAAAAACCCACAGGTTATTCAATCAAAATGTGTTATGGAACTTTGAAGACTTGCAAATGCTTTTAGGTACAGACATGCCAATTTTTGGTGGTGGAACTCATCCCTGTTTAAGTTTAAGACTTAGGTTTGTATATTAATAATGACATTTTATTATTGGGGTTTTGAATACTATAAAATTAAACACTTTTAGCTAGAAGTTTTATAAATATTTTTCACATGCTCTCTCAAAGAGAGAGCAAAAATTTAATATACAAGTAACACATTGAGAATTTTTGGTGGCCAAATTGAATGATTTTTTATGGAACATCATGAAATATTTGTTTTATAGTAAAAAAAATGTACATAATTAAAAAAGAAACATTTTCATTTTCAAAAGTAGAGGTTAAATCCTCTCCTTCAGCTATACTATTGAAGAAAAATGTATTTTAACTTATATATGATAATCATAAAATTATAAAATTAATTTCCTTATATTTGACTAATTATTTAATTTAATTTTAGAGATATGTCTAAACCCATTAGTGTCTTAACTGGTATTGATTATTGGCTTGACAATCTCATGTGTAATGTTCCTGAAGTTGTTATGTGTTATCATTTGAATGGAATTGTACAGAAATATGAACTAATTAAGACTGAAGACTTACCCTATTTAAATGATTCAAAGTTTTCTCCTAAAGTTATAAGAGATGTCGCACAAAATATACTATCTTTCTTAAAATCAAATGCTACTAAAGCAGGGCATACATATTGGTTATTTAAAGGTACAATACATGTTTAGGGCCATGTACATAGTTTAATCCTAGAAATCAAGTTATTTTTAAAAAATAAACCTAAGATAATTTATTGGTTAATTGTCATACTATTAAACTTTATTAATCATTTCATTTTTATAATAATTTTGATATTTGTAATTTTTATAAATAATTGACTATGAATATGGCCCTTGTGTTAAATTGTATTAAATATTCATTAATATTTAATAATTATTTAGGAAAGTATGAGGACGTAGTAAAATTATATGACTTAACATCATTATGTTCTGAGTCATTAGTAGAGGGGAGATGTGAAGGTCAAAATCCATTTACTATTCCAGTAGCTATGTTGTTGTATCGAGTAGCTCGTAATTTGAAAAATAATCCAGTTGATGGTCAGCCATCAAGTCCAGCTACCATTCAAATTTTGTTGAATAATTGTTTAAATTTATTAAACAAAACCAAGTATCCTCAAGTATTTAAAAATGTTACAAAGCATTAATTAAAGTGTATTAGTAAATAATTTTTTTTTTAGATTGTAACATCAGTTAATTATATGCTATCTGATCTTTATATTCCTGTTAACACAAATCCAACTTCACCCAAATTAGAAGACTTAGTAAATAAAGAAGAAGAAAATAATTTGACATCACCAGATATTACTGATGATGAATCACCTGATTTAAATGAAATGCAGCCAACATATTCTGTAGATGTACGAGATTTATGTTTATCCTACAAAAAGGAAAATAAAGCTAAACGTAATTTAAAAATAATTTATATTTTAATTCATTATTCATTTTTTTAAAATTAATTTTTCATTAGAATCTGAGCACTCTTCACAACCTGTAGTTCAAACTGTGGAAGAACGTTGTAAAAAGTCATTATATCATGTTGGTTCTGGTTTAAGTTGCTTACAATACTTTAAGACTTTAAGACAACAAGAACATAATGTGGTAAAAGTATTAATAAATTAGTTATTTCAAAAATATGATTGTAAAATATGATTTTATTGTATTTTCTAATTATAGAATGTAATGAATGATGAACCTTTTATGGCTGGTACTTCAGATGCCATACCAATGCCTTATAATTCAACTACAATTGAAAATAAACCAAAAAAAGAAGATAAAGTAATCAGTAAAACTTCTAAAAATAAAAACCGCAAACGCAATAAAGGAAATTCTATCCTTAACAATGATGACGACATAGACACATGTGATGTGTATGTACTATGATTTCTTTAGATTATTTTTTATACTTTTGCAGTCCATTAAGGGCCATAGCATCCTCCTGGAGAGGAGATTTCTTAACTATAGATACCTTTGGATGGGTGGTTAATCTATCGTCGAAAAGAAGGGTAAATAACTCTAATTACTGAACTCATCTCTTGCTAGCAAATGAAGTTGTCTGTGACAGGGTCTCGAACCTGAGACAGTGCAAATCAGACACACAGTCCCTCTTTTCATCTTTACATATTTATTTATTTTTTATAAATATTAAAAAAATACCATTTTTTATAATTATAGTCCTGGTGCATTGCTTTGCAAATCAATATCTGAGACTATGCCAACATGGCATAACCCTCCAGATGCCAAAGATAGTGAGTCTTGGAAGAAACATCTTAAAGTTTTACTCTATGAAAAAGCATGTTTGTCTTATGCAACACTCGCAGAGCATGATTTCATATGTGAAAAGTAAAATTAAATTTCCTTTTATGTTATATATTCATTTAAATAATTAAAAATAATAAATTTTTATGTCAGATATGGATATGCATTAAAACATTTTCGTTTAGTATTTGAATGTCGATTGTGCATCGTTAACACTAACGTTAATGAACTAGTGGTATATTTATTAGGAAGATGTGGTGATTGTTGTTTGATGATAGCACAGAATTGGAATAAAGTTAAACAATATACATTAGAGTTAGAAGAAGATGAAGAATATGATAAAGAAATTAGAAATACATTACAAGATGAATGTGCTGTTTCTACACGTGATGGTATGTTATCCATATTATTTTATATTTTATATGTATTATAAATTTTATTTGAACATTTCATAGATTTTAACTTAATTCCAAGTATTTTTCAATCAAAAGAAAATATGTTAGATGCTGCTGCTAAATGCTATACACGATCACTGGAAATGGAAACTAATGATAAAAATAAAAATAATCTTAATAGACGTATTGGAAATGTGTATAATGAAATTACTTACTGCTATATAAATGAAATTGCCAGTCAGTATTATTATAACTTATATTATTATTACTTCATTATTAATTATGAAAAAAAAATTAGTTGCTTTACAAGAAGAAGTAGAATTACCTTTATCGAGGTTACAATGGTTGTTACATCAGTCTGAAAATTATTTATCAATGGGAATAAACAAATTTGAAAGTTCAGATGACCACATCAACCTTGCTTTGTTATACTCAAATATGGGTAGATTATTTAGACATGTTGCATATTATTCATCACTATACACAAATTCATATGGGGACTTAGTAAAGAATAAAGATTTTACTAATCAGGTACAGTATAAATCAGGAGTTGAATTGAACATTTTTTTTTCATTTAACAATTTAATGTTTTATAAAATTATCTTATAATTGAATTTAACACTATTCAACATTTAAACTTTGTACAATTTTTAAGTTTAATTTTTTCATTTAACATTAAAAGGGTTTGAAACAAAATTCACTGTTGTAAACAATTTTTAATATAGATAAATATAGATAGACTACTTTTTTCTTACGTAGTAATTTTTTAAAAATAACGTTTGAAAATAGTTTTTTTATTATTGATCTATGATGTAGTTATATTGACCATTAACTGATAATAGTCACTGAAACTGAAACTATTAATCAATAATAAAAATATTATTTTCAAACGTTATACTTAAAATATTTCTATGTCAGAAAAAAGTAGTCATTTACCAATATGAAAATAATTTATTTTTATTTTAATAAGAATTTTTTAAATTTATAAATAATTTATTAACATAATACAAATATTGTATTATGTTTGACAATATTTTACATTTATTAATATCATATATTATTGGTTATTTGTTATTCATTTTAAACATTATAACTATAATGTTTTCTTTCCCTAGTATAAATAATATTAGGTAACACAAAATTGTTAAAATAAAATTTTTTCTAAAAACAGTACAATTTTTAAGGCTGTAGAAAGTTATACTAAAGCATTAGCAGTGTTAGGTAATCGTCGTTATAATCCTCAATTATGGGATATGGTTAGTTGGGATCTATCAACAACAGTTTATAATTTGGCTATACAATCACAAGATGATCCATCTATGTATGAAGTAAGTAATATAAATACATAATTATTTAATAAAAATAATATATGGGTTTTTACACTCAGGACAGAACAGAAGCTGAGAAGGAAGTTATAAGTTTGTTATTAAAAGCATTAAAATACTGTGATTTAGAAAATGACTCATCTAGAAGGTTATTATATGAATTCCGTGCTGCATATATACATGATCGATTAGCATCATTGTATCACAATCGTTTAAGGTATATTTTATATTTCTGTAAAACAGAATTAGACAAGTACATACACTATAAACTATCCAGAGAAGTTTTATTTTTAGTATTTTTATCATTATAATTTTGAATGTAGAAAAGCATTATTAATTTAAGTTATTAAATAATATAAGTTATTTTTATAAATTTTAAGTAATAATTTTAATACATTAGTATATTAAAACAATAAACCCTAAAAGAAACTATTTTTTCACTTTTCTAATATAAGTTATTTTAAATATTTTATTTTATTAAAACTTTACTTATCATTTATAATTAATGTAGTACATTAAATTTTTAGGTGTTTAGAAGTTGATGCAACAAAATTCAAAACAACTCTACATCAATGTACTTCTCATTATAATAAAGCTTTTGATATGTTTATAAAAATGGATCGTCCATTAGAATGTTTAGAAATACTGATTAAAACTATTGCCTTAGATGAACTACAGATGGACAGTAAGTTATAATCTGTAATGTATAACATGAGTAGTATTAACATTTGTAAACTTCTTATTTTTTAATCTCAGATGCCACAAATACTTCTACCAAAGTAAAATTCATTGTATCTATTTCACAAACTCTTGGAAAATGTTGTTTTGTATTAAATATGCTGCTAGAAAATTATGACGAACAAAAAGATTTCAAACCAATAAATACTGATGATATATGTAAGAATAAAGAAAATATTGATGATGATAAAGACACAAAGTTAAAAACAAAAAAGTTGCTTACATTATTAGAAGAAAGATTGCAACACATTTTAAAAAATATGATAAGACTAGCAATGGGAAAAGTTTCTAAGTAATTCAAGATTTTTTTTCTTTTTCATAAGAAATAATTTATATTATTTATATTTGTTACTATGTTTAATTTATTTAGGTTAGCTAATAAAATAGATGAATTAAAATCAATTTATAATGAACTCCTGAGGAAAAGTAGTGATGCTAAGGGCTATCATTATTTACTTACAGTTATAACTCGTATTAATGAATTAAAATTATGATATTTTTTATCCAGTATAATTGATTATATTAATTATTGATTTATTTTACATAAAGTAATAAATATTGCAAAGTAATAATATTATAAGTTATAAGTATTTTAATTATTTTGTTAAAATAGTGGTATATCATCTGAAATCAAATTTACCTTCTGTTATATTATATTTTTTTGTAAAAGAAAGTTATAACAGTTTAATAACAAAAACCTATTAGAAAATACTTTTTTTTAATGTTAATGAATTTTTTTATTTATATTTATTTAACTATTAAAAAACATATTTAAACTGTAAATTAAGTAAAATTAAATTCATTTATTAATTAATTAAATTTTATAAAAAAGAATTGTTTTTATTTTTAATTATATGACAACTAAATAATTCAATTATTTTTAAGTATAATTCAGTTTTTTCAACATTTGTGACAATATTGATATTAAACTTAATAATAATAATTGACTACAGTGTTTTAGGAAACAGGTTTTAAAAGAAAATAATGTGTTTACAAAAATATGTTAGATAGTATTAAAAGCTATTTCTCTTTTAATTTGTAATTAAGCTTTACATTTATTCCGTTTGGTTTTTAGGATTGTATTAATAAGCTAGATAGTCAAGAGATAGTAGTATCAGATTTTAAATTGCGAGCTAAATTTTACTAAAAATTCTGTTAAATAACAAAGGCGGATAAATATTGGTTGACTTCTTGGAACTAAATTTTTCAATTTTTTTGTATTATTTACCAATTATAAAATCTAAAACGTGAATAAAGTATTGTAAAAAACACATTTTTTACAAAACTTAACAAGGTATTAAATAATAATTAATAAACAAATTTTTAATTGATCTTTAAATGTAAATGTATTTTTGGTTATAGATTTTTAAAAGATCGAACAAAAAAATTGTATATATTTAAAATTAATATAATTTTATATTTTATTACTTGAAAAATTGTTATTTATTGATAAACATAAACTCACTTTTGCAATTATTATAGTAATTATTATTTATTAGGAACATAATATATAATCGAAAGTATAATACCTATTAAATAAATATAAATAATAAATTTAATTAACAACAGTTAACAATTATATACTCTTTTTACAAAAAAAGAAAAAATATATATCATCTATTTAATCGCCCTACTCAGGAGACAGAGGTTCCACCTTAAGTGATGTAGTTGGCGCTATTAACAATGCTGGATTAGTGACTGCAATAATATTTCCTCCACTTGAGGAGGATATGACCTAAAGTAAAATTTCATTAAATAGTGCTATTTATTTGAAATGAAAAAAAAGTAACATAATTACTAAGATTAAGTTACTTGGACTTTATCGCTGAAAAAAGGTTCAACAACATTTTTATCGTTTGGACTACAGCAAAATTCTTCCGTCTCATTTTTATCTGACTCGCGAATACTAGAGAAATTACTCTGAAATAAGAACAATTGTATATTAGATATAAATATTATTTTTTCCTTTATTACATCAAAGTGATTAAATAAGCTGCAATCCAAGCAAAATGTATGCAAATTATTAAATAATTAAAATTTGTAAAAAAACTGTTACGTACCTGATTTTAACAATAAACATAAAGCAAAAAAACTAAAACAAACATAAACTGAACAATATGTGGTTATTAAATTTTAAAAAAATGTGTTAATGTATTATACATGCCTAGTAAAAAAATTAGTTATGTACATAAAAAATTTAATATCTAAGTTAATAACCCCTATTTTGATACCTTAGTTAAAAATTTTAATATTTAAGTTAGGTCTTTTAAAGTCACTGTATCACAGTGTTCCAAAATTAAAAATAGGTTTCTGACGATTTATATATTTTGTGCGCAAAAGACTACTTTGAAAAATCGATAGTAAAATAAACTAGTTGTGACAAAATTATATTTTGTACATTAATTAAATTAATATAGTACACTAATAGAAATATACTATGATAAAGGAAAAATTAATTGATGAAAATAAATTTTAGTCAACTTTTTTACATTTTGATATACCACCGTCCATAGGATCTTTAATGTCGGACAATTTTCATTTTGAATTATAATCAATACTCAAGAAAAATTAAAATTAACTGTAAATTTAGGTAGGAGATTCTGTCTAAAAAATAAATTATAGTCCAAGTAGATGACTGATTTATGTCCACTACTTCTATATTTTGCTAAATTGGTACGAAAACTGAAAGTATTTAAGTCATATTTATATATTACTTGTCCCATAAATCGTTTGTCCTATTATGATTAAAATGTATTTTAAATATATACAATTTGTAGCAATATATCTAATTAGAAAAATAGTTTCCAACCAAAATATATATTACTTCACTTTACTATAAAAAGTCTAGAGACTGGTCCAAGCTATAATTTCAATTACTAAATAATTTTAGTTAATTTACCGAGATTGTCGTTTGACTATTAAAAATCTTACTTGAGTATGTTGTCATTTTAAACGATATATTTACTTATCTGAAAATATAAGAAAAACGCCGACGACATAGTGCTGTTTATTATTTGGTCCAGAAATGATTACAGTAATTTTATGATTTAAACGAATTTTACAAAATCAATAATTATAAATATATATCTTATAATTACGTAAAAACTTCGAAAAAAAAAAACTGGGAAAAAGAATACAAAAAAACATAAACGTTTAATGAAAATGCACTTGACGAAATGAAATTAAAACTTTTGTGATCATGCACTGAGCACTGAGTCAACGATATTGATTTTTTGAAGGTACCAAATTATGATTTTCTTTTTTTAGAAATAATATTGTTATCGTTAATTATCAACAATCTCGGTTCTTTCATTAGCCAATGGATGTTATTTTAAATATTAGATTAAGTTTTTGTGACCAAAGTTTCTCTAAAGCGGACTGGTGCCGCATGCATATTCATCACCGCACTCGCCATCACCGCCGTGAGCACGTTTTACCTGATTACCGGTTGTATTCTGCGAGGATACTTTGCCGTCGTTATTGAAATCCATACTCCTAGACATTGAATCCCTCGAGTCGCCGATATCCTAGAAATAAGTTACCCAAGATAAGTAATGCCCTTAGAGCATACAGAAGAATTATCAACTAACCTGTAATGGTGAACTGGCGTTGCTATAAGAAAGTTGGGAGTCCGTATCGTCTGTGTCAAAATCCCTACAGCTCGTACTATCTCTTCTCGATGATCTGTAACAATAGGAAAATGCATTACAATAAGCGATCAAAGATTTTTAGAGGTGCTAATGAATTGTTGTATAATACTTGTTCTGCTGCAAGTCGTTTTGTTCGACCAATAGCTGAGCTTGTCGATTTTTGAGAGTTTCCAGCTGATATTGTACCGCCGGGTCTTCTTTAGATTTTTTATTTAATTCGTCTCTACGCGAGTTCATCGTAAGCAACTCTTCCGCTATTTGTTCCAAACGTTCCTAAAAATTATAAATTGTAAAATTAACCGTAGGCTTCAGTACGAATGAAAAATTTTGCATACTTGACGCCGGATCTTGTGAAACTCGTCTTGATCGTCCAGTCTTTGCCTCTTGGATCTGTACTCATCACTGTTAGAACTCAACGCTCTATAACTGTGAATACTCCTATAAACAATAATAAGTGGCATGGTAAATGTTATAATTACTATCGAAACTTCTTATTTTTAATATTAAAAAGAAAACAATAAAAAAATACTTAGAATGTCCTTTGGAGTAATGATATCCCGAATCACGAACCACTTGTCTAGCCAACGGAAATAATTCATCACGTCTCGTCAACAGTACTGGTACCAACTTACAAATTTGTGCGGCAGCTTCATTTACAGAGATCTAAAAGTAATTAAATAATGACTATCACTAAATGATGATTTTATTGACTTGTGTGTTTACTTTGATTTAAAAACATTAACTGTATTTGTAAACACNCGGCAGCTTCATTTACAGAGATCTAAAAGTAATTAAATAATGACTATCACTAAATGATGATTTTATTGACTTGTGTGTTTACTCTGATTTAACATGATAAAGTGTTTTAGTTTTGTTATAAGTGTCACTTATTATGTACTTTTACCTACCTCGTGCAACGTCAAAGGTTTTTCTGGTTTTCTTTTGCAGTCAAATCGTCCGTATATAGCAGAATATTTTCTTATTGCTTCTATGCGCTTAGGATCTTCTTCTGACATATTCATAATAGTCTGAAAAATCATGTATAATTTTTAATTTTCATCTTCATTTCGCTTATTAAAAATGAACTTATATTCGACCTCGAGCTCTTTGTTCATTTTTCTTTTAGCAGTTTGCATTTTTGGTTGGTATTGTGGTAACCTATGTACTAGTTGTTTTGCAGACGTTGCTAATCTACATATTTGCGATTCATCCAAAGCTGGAGATAACTGTAAAGGCGATCCTGGACTTTGAGCTGGACTATTGCTATCTCCGTAATTTTGTCCGGCTGAAGTGGTTGCTTCGCTGGTTTGGGCAACCTATCGGTAAAAAATATTTGTGTTTATAATTATATATTATTAATATGTACACACCGTATCTTCGTTTGCAAGACATACATACAACTTATTGAATAATCTTGCATTGTAATGACAATGCTATCGAAATGTATAAAAAGTGAAATATACCTGTGGTAATTGGTTGGTGGAGCTAGGTAATGGCAATGGTGAAGCGGGTGGTTGATAACCATATCCCAAAGGCGTGTAATATCCATGATGAATGGACGTCTGAATTAAAGGATTAGGACAAGCACTGAGGTAAGGACGAATAGGATTAGAAGGAAGAACTACTGTGGAAGTGGCGGTGGATACTGGAGACGACAAAGGAGTCTGGAACATGGCTGTGGAAAAAAATATATATTGTTAGTAATATTGATTATTGATTAATTTTATTGTATTGTATGAGTATGTTCAAATTTTAAAGCTATTGAACTCCAAACAATTTTTTTCGAACTTTAAGTAAACTTTTCATGATGCGTGTTATAAACATAAATTTTACTTAAGTAATTATCATTCACACGAAAAAACAAGTCATAACGCAGGCAAGTTCTGTGCTGTAAATTCTTTAGTGCGCATTTTTTCTATTGCTGCGGGAAAATTGATCGAACTAAGTTTTCCCTGCAGTTATTTTTCTCGTTGCTTTTTATACGGTTTTTTTTTTTTACGTTACAATAGGCCGTGTCGTTGAACACGGTACATCGACGAAGTAGTTTTGGAAAACAACGAGGAAGTAGGAGCAGAACAACAGGATAGAGGGTTTTATGATTCGGATTTTTTTTCTGTCTTGCTCATACTGAGCGATTTTTCTTGTACAAAAAAAAAAAAAATAATAAATAGAGGAGAAACACCAGACTTTTATCGTACTATGCATTGCGATATAGATATAGTTGATAAAAAACCTTACTAATAGGAAATCCTGATGAAAATCTACACCACAAAAATATTTTATTTGCAACTGTGAAGAACAGAATGGAGAGGAAAAATCGTATATATTTTTTTTTCACTCAAAAAAAGTTCACCTTGAGATTACAGTTTGAACTCATGAGTTAATGCATGTAATCATTGTATGAATAAACTCAAGATTATATTTGGGACAAAAAATGAAAATATCACTGAAATAATATTCATTTTTTCAAACGCATGATAACAATTAAATAATTTTTTTAGTGTACGATATTTGAAAAGAAAAGAAAAATCCCGAAAAATTTTTTTTTTTAATTTTAGGGTATTATTTATTCTCAGATATTAAGTAGGAAATTATATTTGAATTTATTAGAATTATGACTATAATTATAATTATAATAATTGATCAAGTTAAAATTAACTGTTTGTGTAGTTTTTTAATAGGTTTAAATTTTTTTCACTTAAAACATTAATAAATAATTAGTTTTCTCGTAAGCTTTGAAGAAACCATAAAATTCAATTAAGTTCTATTTTTGTTTATAGTTTTTTTTTTTTCATTAAAAGAACATCATAAGAGACAAAACATTAATGCACTCTTTTTATATATACATATATAGATCCGATTTGTCGGTAGCAGATAACACACGATAAAAGCAAGGACTGATCACAAAAGGGTTAACCTAGTGGCTCACCAACTGCTCTCGTACCGATGCCTTATTTTTCATTGTCATTCTCTGATGCCACTACGCGTATTAAAAAAATAAGTGTGCTGTGAAGAATACGACATGATAGTAATATTAGCGATTATTAGTCGACCTACATTGTAATAACATAATACATGCACACAAGGTGGTTTATATACGCTCCACGTGTATCGTTCTCGCATAATGACGATGCTCTAGGTAACCCTTGTAGGAAAGGTGGGCTTATAATTATAATAGTAATGACGAGCCGCGACATTTGGTCAATGAATGCATCCGGAATCAGCGATCGATAAAAAAATATCACGTGCCTGTTATTTAATTTAAACATTTTTTCTTAACAGAAATCCGGTCCATTGGCAATCTGATCTAACTTTGTAATTACAAAACATTAACAGTATTAAAAAAAAAAAATGCATTTAGTACCTGGATTGCTGACCCACTCGTGGAGTGCTTTTTGAAGGCGTCTAACATGCAGAGGTTTAGATGCCATGCCTACCAACGCCATTATTTCCAGAAATTCTTCTTCACCTGCATCGCAAAGCTGTTGAAGATCATCACCTCCTGTTCACAGAAAAAGCTTTTTAGTTTGAACAACGAACAATTTTAATAAAATACTTCATATAACAAATTCAATGACAAGTATACATGACTTATACACTAAGGTAAACTATGACAAAATAATAAACTAAGAAATACAATTTTCAAATTATATATCTTTTCATTAAAGATAGAATATTTTAATATCACTAGATTTAAACTATCAAAATAATTTAAACACATGTAACCTTACCCATTTCCAAAAGCGTATCATAATAAGCCAATAGACTCGCTTTTTGCATTACCCTGTAAAGTTGTAATTCAGCCTCGTTGCTTGGGTTAGACGTCATGATCACTAAAAAAAATATATTTTATAAATATAAATATCAACCAAAAATTCTTTAATGTATCACATTTAAAGTACGCTGTTTATGTTCCTTAAACTTTTAGAGCACAGCTTTAGGGATAACGGACAATAAAATCTAAATAGCTAACATTTTATTTAAGTTTTTATTTGGCTGTGAAGAAATAAAATTATTTTATATAATTTTGAAATTTTCATAACTGTGTAGTAACACTTAGAAGTCATGTCACTGATAATAAATGTGCCTGTGCACTCCTTAAATTCTTGATAAGCGTTTATACAAATTGATCCGTTTATCATAATCCACTCGATTACTCGCAAAATAAATACAATATTGAGAAAAAAAATCTTAGTTTTTTAGCTACAATTGTTTCTTGATATAACAGTTGTAACATTAATTACATTTTGGCATCATCTTTTACACCTTATAAGTGTAAAAAAATATTTATATTTAATGACAACATACATGTTTAACTAGTTTAAATAATAGAAAATTACTTAATTAATAAAATGATAGGCTAATTATAACTTTTCGAATCAGTATTTGTAACTAATAACGTTTTAAAATGTAGATAGGCGAGGTTATGAATATTTATATCATTAGACATTTCTTGACCGCTTATCTTTCGCCCAGATATAAAAATGTTAATAACTTCCAAAATTGTATATCGATCAGTCATTTTCTTAATTAGATAATTTCCTATTTTATAAGCTAATTAAATATACGTTGTATATATTGCCTTTAAATAAATAAAGTTGGAACTCTTATAAAGTATAAGGGATGATGATACAAACTAACTAATTGCTGACAAATCAAGAAATATATTTTACTTAAAAAAAAAAACAAACATTTTTTTCTCAATATTGTAATTATTTTGGGTGTAATTGAATGGTTTATGATAAACGGATCACTCTGTATGTATGTATACATATACATTTTTTTTTTTCGTTATTGAAACCAATATTTTATATTATAAGGTCTGTGGAGAGTTTCTTTTTTTTGCCTTAATATTCTTCAATCTTATTAATCTTTAAAAGTCTTTAAAGAAACTACTCGAATGTTGTACACAACGAATGATGCGACAAAAATAATGGCATTAAAAAAAGAGGGCAAATAAAATGTAGCTGTTATTTTTTTTTAGTTCTAAACGCATAAATATTGTAATGACGTCATAAAGTCGTGTAGCCGCTTGCACTTGCATTATACGAGCCTATTGGAAGTTTTAACTTATTCAATGGCGCCAAAATAATTTTAATATACCAAGAATGATGAAAAAGTCAATTTCAATTTAACGAAACATAATTTTTACATAATTATTTGATTAAAAGTTAAACTTCTTCGAACGTTAGTTGTTTAATTTTAAAACATAGATTGGAAAAAATTCTGTTGATATTACACGTCAGAATTAAAAAATAAAAATTTTTTTATAAAGGTGATAAAATTGGGAAAAGTTTTATTTTGTAATTATAAAAATTCCAGTATATCGTCAACTGAAAACATTTTTATTTTGGGTATTGCAACATTTTATATAAAATTTATTTTAAAATTAATTGTATTATTATACTAAAAGAGGTACAAAGAACATATCTTAACTTGACATTAACATAATGTGAACCAAGACGAGTATTATTCACTCTAATGGTTATTTTGTTTTTTTGTCCGATAAAAGGGTTGATGGTCAGAACAGTGATGGTTATTTTTTTCACAAGAATGCCGGGGAAGGAAGGGTCTCCTTCTGTTTACAAACCTGCATGTGTCTTACGCCTGTTTTATATTCTATAACGACTTCCTGGGTCAGAGTGACCTGGGGGCCACAGTTTGATGTAATTATTGCACAACGCGCGTTGGACAGCAGCTGAGGGTTGAACTCGTTTTCAAGGCTGCATTACATACGACATCCACCACTGTATATGTGTTATTTTTAAAATGGACGAACTAAAGTGTTGAACTGTTCAAAGATAAAACAGTTTTAGGGTTGTTTTTCTGTCATTAATTTATAATTATGTAGGGTTAAATTAAAAAAGTAATTGTTTTACAGCTTTACATCTGTACTAGTGTTTTTATATTTTGTAAATTATGTGTGATTAAATAATGTATTGTTTTTTTTAAAATCATTTTTACTTTTTAGAAATCTATTTCAATAAGATAAAAACTTTTTTTACTATTTAATCTTTGCTATAAAAAATAATGAACTAGAGGACTTAACAATTTTCTGAAAACATTTCCAGTGAAAAGTACAAATTATAGTTCAGGGGTAAATTATTGAATAAGTATATGTTTATATCATTAAATTCAAATGAGTATAGCTTAAACCAATAAAAAATAAAGTGTTATTTTTATGACTTGTTGTTCAGTTTAGCGTATTTTGCAAGATTATTTTAAATCTAAAAATTTTTATAGTCATAATTTACACTGAAAATAAATAAAGGCAAAGTAGAGTAGAAGAAAAAACAATTATTAATTTTCTCCTAATTAGAAATAAATAAGCTAGTTTTTTTAATGTAATACGATTTATTTTTTATTTTTATAAAATATTAGAAGTTTTTAAAAATTTTAATTACTATCAAAGTTTAAACTGTCGATAGATCGATTCAATTCTATTAAAAAAATAATATAATTACAAAATTACTTTTATTATTGTATTTCAAATTCCTTAAAAAAGTAAATCCGAATGTAAAACAGCAGATGTATGACATGATTTTGACAATAAACGTCGTCGAGATATTGAAAAAAGACAGAATAAAATCTTTTAGACCATAACGTAAAAAATCATAGGTATATATCAATTAGGGTGCATCCATCTGTCCTCGTAGTACTATATAAATGAACGTTTTTTATGGCCTCAGGGTCATCTTCGGGTATACGATTTGATGCGTTAACTGATCAAATACTATTATACAGGCGTTTTATGACGCGAGGTCAACAGTCTGGTTAAAATAAAACACCTTTTCGTAAGTAGATTAAAATTTTTTGATAAGTAATTGTGGTCGAGTAAATAATAATATTCAGTATAAAGTAATATAATATTTAATCTACGAGATTTAAATAAAATGTGCTCATTTTATTTATATGTTTATAGAGAACATAAAATAATTGCTTATAAATATAAGTCTGTGACTTTCATTTTCTTTACCAACACATTGCTAAACATTTTTTTTATTCAGAATAATTCAAAAACGTATACGAATCTCATGGTATGACAATTAAACAGAAAAAAAGTTGTAAAAAAAAACACCCAGAATATGTGAACCCTTCAGGCAGAACCGGTGTTTCTTTTTGTTTTGTTTTTTTTTAGACCGAGGCCATTAACATCAAAATTTTTTATCATTTGAAAGTCCAAGAATATCTTTATGTGTGGGAAACAGCAGAAAAAATATATTATTCAGACAGAAAAAAAAAATCAATATAGGCATACCTGTGTTGTTCTTAGGAAAAAAAAGATAACTAAAATAGGGTCCGGGTGTCTTGGCGGTACACTCCGCTGCATAATAATGAGTTTTAATAAATTAGTTCCAGCTGTTTTGATGGTGAGTATTTTTTTTTTAATAGAAAAAATGTAGGATTATTTTCTACTCAGATCATATTGTTTTAACATTTCAATAAAACACTTTTCGAATAACTTTAAGAAATTTCTAAATTTAAGGTTAAATTATAAAATAGTTATTATGGATGAATAATTAATTGGAAATAAAAAATTTCTTTTTATATTTCGTATCAAATTTATTAGTTATAAAATATTTTAAGTTAACTAAAAATATATTTTTATTAATGAAACAAATATTATTGTGAACATATCAAAATACTAAGTATATTGAATATTGCACGTTTTTCTGAGACAAGACTATAAAAAAACATGAGGTTACGATAATATCTACTTGGAGAAATACAATAAATAATTATTCATTTTTCGACAAAATCATCTTAATAATTTAATGACTATAAAATAGGTTATTCACAAATTATTTTCAGTTAGTAATTTTACTGTGTACAACCCACCAACTAAATAGTAATTCAGAATTATCGTTGCCTAAGTATCATAAAGTAATAATACTTATACATTTAATAAACTATTTTCATTCATTTATAATTATTATTATTTGATAATATGCATCAGACTATTCTACTTAGCATACGATAAATTTTGAGTATGGTTACCTTATAAATACGATATTGCACCATAATAAGTGACTTACTATAACTATAAAAATAAGTATTATCTTAAAAACCATTTGAATAACATTGTTGCAGTACTAGTTAAAATCGGTCTTTCATATATCATGAGAACTTATTTTTTGAAGAGATCCCAGAACCAAAAAAAATATTGACCAAAAAAACCAACTTGAATGTTGTTCACGTACATGCAAATATCTTTTTAGAAATATATAGCACTAAAAAAAAAAGAGTACTATCTAATTTTCATATTTCAATTTTTTTCAATCTAAAACAATACTCAGCTGCCGGCAGTAGTGTACAAGAAAACAGGGCGAACGCATGAGAACGTGAGAATATATTCACAGGTGTTTTACATGGATATAATCTGCCTGATGCATGCAAATGCTCGTCCACGACCAAACATTATAATATATTATGTAGTAGAAAAAAAATTATACCCTGCGTGAGATCCGCACAACAGTGTATTGTCTTTATGAATTTTTTTTACTCTTCAACCCTTTCTCAGGTCATCTCTTCAAGTTAGCGCAAAAAAGAACCCTTTTGCATAAAAAAAAACTATAATGAAACATTTTTTTGGCCACCCACCAAAAAAATTAACTCTGGGGTTTAGGTAACAGGGGTCGGCGCTTCAATGGATCACTGTCGGTGAGGTTGGGTTTTTTTGACCCGTTCATACTCGAATAATTAAGGGTGAGCGCTACAACGAGGGTAACGTCCGCCATTTCGCTACCCTCTATCGGTATTGTTTAGGGGTGGATGCTATTTTTTGTTGTTATTTTTTTTCAACGACTCGTCTACTCTCCGGACGGCTTACCCGGTCCAATGGAGAAACGGCAGGGTGAGTGTAATATTATGGTTGGACAGTATCGGTTGCGGGATCAACGGTTTTTGTAACGTTTTCGCAACGGTTCTTGGAAAAACAAAAATGGACGACTTAAGCGTCAAACAATTTTTTTTTTTTATTTCAAGTACAAAGAATGTTTTAAAATTGTTCGATAATTCCTACGATGCTTTTCCATAACAACTGTATTCATTATAACTGATTAGTAGTTATCCGCAAAATTAGTATTGTTGTAAATCCTTAAGGAGAACAAAAGGCCAAGTGATTCAGTTTGAAAGTAATTTGTTTTCTTTTAAGTGAGATAGTAAATTTTTTTAATTATTTAACAATCAATAATATAATTTAAATGTAATTCAATGTATTATCATACGGTTAGAACAATACCACATGTAAGAATTTTTTTTACAATGAGTACATATTTATAACAACCCTAACTTATATGGTTTGTTAAATATCCAAAGTATACTTATTTAGTTAATAATATAATAATTGATGTAGATAAGAATCGTTTAAGTTTCATAAATTATTACATTTTTGAAAGAAACATAAAATTTATTTCCGGTGTATTCTTAAAATCTATATAATAAATAAAGAAATGAAAAATATTCTTTTAACTTAAGTAACTAATATTTATGCAATACTATTATTGTATTATTTTACTGTATTATATTATTATTAATGCTATGGTATTAATAATGAAAAACTGTTTTTATATTTTAAGATAATGAATAGGGTTGATATGAGAACATTATTAATCAGTTAATAATTGATATTAATGAAATCCTGACTAGCAGTGTAAATCGACAGGAGACTTTTGTAAAACTTAAGCGCCTGAGGCAAATATCATTGCGCGCTCAGATTTCTTTTATTATGACTGAAAAAATACTTAAGATACATCAACCGATGCCTTGAACTACAGGAAGAAAGAAAGTAGGTCAAATATAAAGTTCATAACTAACTTTTAAACAACCAATTGTTATTACTTGTCTCAAAGACGTTTTGTTTTAGAAGAAATATTTGATTACAATGAGAAATCGCTGTTGTTTTGACTTATTAGTTACATCTGTTTTTACAGTATTGGAAGTTGAAATTTTAACCATATTGTTTTGATGGTATATTTATTCTTTTGAAAGCTAGGAATATTAAAATTTAAACATCTAATAGAAAAATTATATTCGTTGTAATATTATTGCATAAAATAACAAATAATATTCATCAACAATACACCATTAAAGGGGTTTTTTTATTTTAAAATAAGATATAATGTAAAATTATTTAAAGAAAACTTTAAATTTCTTGAATTTATATAAAAAAAAAAATTTAGCTGCGTTCAATCAGAAAAAATCTTAAATTTATAAAACAACATTTATAATTATTTTTTGAGTTTCATAATGTTTAGTATATGTTCTAAAAAAATTAAACAAAAATATTTCTAGGAACTTTTTAAATATCACCGATATAATTAAATTTTTTTGTACTGATTGTTACTATCAATTAAATATAAGATACAGGTCACTTGACATGGCATTTCTATAAAAATGATTTACATTAAAAGCATTTTTCTCCCTTTGAGCATCCTGAATAGTAAAAAAGAAAGTTCATTCTAAAAGTATATATTCTAACCATTTAATTTTATGTAGTTATTGATTACTCGATAATTATAAAATGATCAGATTGTTAATACTGAATACAATATTTAATTTTTCAGTAAAAATTTTTCTAGTTTATTATTATTATTTCATTATATTAAGGAAGATTTGTTTTAATGCTACTAGGAAGCCATACATTAAAGAATATTTTTAATAATCGAAAATGGTGGAAAATATTCAATTAATGATATATTTAAAATTTATTTTTCCTTGGCGAAAGCTGAACAAAATCAAAGTTTAAGTCTATAAAAGTGGCTAATTTATTAACCTTTAAACGGCATGAACAATTTTAAGTGTTAAATAAAGCAATTTTACAAAACACTTTTAAAGAGCTATATTACTGGTTCAATTTATAATTTGATTCTACTTTTTGGTGCTAAATTTAGTATACTCAAGCATTAGTCGACTGTAGACAATTATATACTTGTATATAATATAGACGTATATTTAGTAGTAGATTTTATTAAGTTTTTCATTCTTACTCAATTTAATTCATTACATTTTAAAGTTTAAATAAAAAATAGATATTGTTGTTACATGTGTTTTAGTTTCTCTTGTCAATTTAAATTATTTCTTAAATACATTAAACTTATTTTTGTCTTTGCCGTAATTATTTAATTGAATGGAAATTAATGATCATGTGATTACTTAATTCAATATACTATTTTAGATAAATAAACATATATACACAAATAAACTTAATTTCATTAAAATAATTGATCCCTTATGGCTAATTTTATTTAAAATTAAAAATATATTTAAAATATAGTTAGTTTTATTCAACCGAGTACTTGGTTCAGTATTTATAATTATATTGAAAGCAAATATTTGCAAATTTAAAACCATTTAGGTAATTTTTATAATGTTATTTAATTTTTTAAATATCTCTAATGGTTTTTGTTATTAATTAAATAAAAAATGAATGAGTTATGCTCAAGATTGAATAGTAAATCGGTAAAATATAATTATAAATATGCATAATATTAAACACAATATATGTATTTAGTCTCTCTTTGATATAAAATAAAAATGTAAATTTAGTTTGGACTAATACCTAAAAATTCGTTAAAATATTATTCAGTTAAAAAAAACGTTTTGAGTTCTGAATTGACAAAAATATACTTTAAACATATCAGTTTATATGAGAAAATCAGAGTGAAATTTTAGCTGATTGTTGATTACAAGGCTAGATTAAGACTTATATGGACCTGGGGTGGTAACTTGAGATAGAGACTTTACCTCTGCGGAAATATTGCTACCATTTAAAAGTGATTAGTAAAAAAAAAAATCAGAATAATTATAATTAAATCATTAATTATAACACACTAGTAAAATTAACTCAAAGAGCCCATTTTTTGAGCTCATGAGTTCATGGCGTTCACCCCCTCCTATCTTGTCAATCTTAAACCGGGCCTGGATGTTTAATGTTTAACTATTTGGAAAAAATATTTTTCTATAATATGTTTAACTTTTTAGCTAATATATTTTAAACTATTAAAAAAAAACAAATATTTTGTACTAAATAAAAACTACAATTTTATTCAAAACTGATGAAAATAGTTAACATTAAGAAAAAATCAAAACGCAAAAATATCCTATACTTAAAATGTTTATGGCACAGTAGCGTTTTACGTAAATGGACTGTAATAAAAACTATATTATGGCCTAAAAAACGCAGCATGCCGTTTGAGTCTCAAGAAAAACTTCAACTTCTATATCTATACATTTGTTACATAATGTACAAAAGAAATATTTCCCGCCGTCGGAATTAACTTTAAATTACGCATTTGGCTTTTTTTTCGTGACGCCGAACGCATAAAATACTTAGAAGAAAAATGAGTAACGAGATAGAACGTTATGAAAAAAAAAAATTATGTACATAATGACGTGAAAAAAAATACATTTGATTCAACCTCTACGCTTCGAGGCATATCATCAGATAAATCAGTCGAAAAGTATATTCATAAAAAAAAAGAATGTTGTAAAAAAAAGTGAAAAAATTACTTAATGTCCTATTTATTGGTTGATATAGTTTGTTTTTTATGACTGTCTTCTTTCTTAGCATTGTGTATATGTTTGAAGTCAATTTTAACTTGAAAAAAATCGACTCGCATAATCAAATGTATACTGACGTGGATAAGACCAAATAAAAAACAAATAGATTTTTTAGAGGGAAATCGATTCGTTTCGATACCGTAATCATAATTACATTACAACAATTTTTTAAATATAATGAAAAAATCCTATCGCTCGTTTTCACATATCAATCTAAAATTATTCATTACTTATCTATTATCTTATCTAAAAAATCTCCGCATTGAGATCATAGGCATTTAAACATTTTTTTAGAAAAAAAAAAAAAATTAGAATATAAAAAACCAATGATTATATATGAGATCATGAAAGTTTATATTTTTCAAATATTTTATATGAAAATAAAGTCTTACATTTGTTGTCTGAAAACGTCAAGATGAAATTACAAAAAAAATTTTTATCAAAATTTCCCTAACTTACATAAAAATTTATTTTAATTGCAACCAATATTTCGTGATGGTGCTATAAAACAATGACACTTGTAATGCTAATTATGATAATACTTAAAGCTTCAAAGAGTTAACAATGAAACAAATGTATATCATTTGAACATAAAAATTGAATGTTAGATTTTGTTGCACACTTATTTTTGAAGTATAAAATATATTTAAAAAACTCTTAGATAAATGAAGAACAGAAATAAAACGCACCCACTTTGTGTCAAACCCATAGAATTAACGAAATAAATACATGAATTCAAACATAAGCAAAATGTAAGTAATAACTGAGTACAAAGAGATTATTGAAATATTTTTATTTAAGATACAAATTTATGCTAAAAATAAAAAGTGTATGAATATTAACATTTTTCTCATTTCTTCCGAGTTAACGGTAATCTAAAGTTTTATAAGAACTTGGAACCATCCGAGCAGTTTTTATTCAATATTTTTTCTCAACTTAAACTTCTTACTGGGAAGTTTCCCGTCGTGTATCCGAATCTTAAGAAAATTACTTACTTGTTCCGTTTGAATTTTTACTGAGAATTTTCAAACCAGAAGAAGTATCCGACGTTTTGACCCCAACAGACGAGCTGCAACAGTTGTTACCGTTGAAAGGCGGCGTGCCGGTAGACCGAACTTCACTGCTGTCGTTAGCTTCCATAAAAAATTATAGCGCACGAAAAACAGTGTCAAGTAAATTTAAATGTCTAAAACAAAAGTAAAACATACGTAACTACAAATCACAACGCATATTATCGAATAGGAATTAAAAAATAAATAAAACAAATTTTAATCAATTTCACTCTCGACTTTTAAGTTTCGGAGATAGTGCCGTCGTCACAATAGCCGCATGGCGACTCTTCCACAGGGAAAATTTGGAAGCGCGCGGTTATTACAGAAACGGTCCGTCAGTGTAGTTGGTGCAGCCATCTGCCGGATCGAAGCTGAGGCAATGTTTATATGGTTCACATGTAACCCAACATGTACTGGGTAGAAGGAGAGGGGTGCTGCTGTTTAAAATAGTAATAAAAAAATCGACGCCATCTCTGACCGCCACGAACAAGGCAGCTGCCGTCGGGTACGAGGAAAAACGCCGGCCAAGGGGTAACCGTTAAAACGCGATGAGAATGAATTTTTTTTGCTACGTTTCTTCTTTCCAATCCTGTTATATTGCTTTGCTCCAAGAGCACTGCTGCTTGTTATTTTAAACATAAGAAAACGACTAGCAAGAATAAAATAGCAGATCCCAATACGAGGGGAAACGACAAACAACCAGAATTGTAAACGTTACTTAAAAAAAATCGTTTTCGAGGAAGATTAAAAAAACCTGAAGTCAAAACGGCTTTGGTTTACAACAGGAGTTTAATTATTTGAATTAAAAAAAAAAATTGTGTACCCAAACGAAGAAGTGATCGTTGTGTAGAACAAAAGGGATTGAGTTCGGAGGGAAATAGTTCGTGACTATTTGAGTTTGTTGGGAATTATCAAGAAATCGTTACAAGACGCTTATATTATATCAATTGCGAATTACCGTTGCTCTTTTAGATCTTAAGATGACCCTAAATTAATAGTATTTAGATGTATAACGGATTACTTTACAAAATTATTATTCATTTAATGTCAATGGTAACTATATGGATTTTCAAAAATTTAAAAGAACGGCATTTAATATTACAGCAGCAAGTTTTTAAATTTTATTTAATTGTAAATATTGGTTTGTTAACGTATCTAATTACATCATTATTTATGAAATTATTTTGGTTACTCTAGTATCTGGATTACATATGAAATATAAGTTTGAAAAAATGACACTTACGGCATATATAAAAATCTTATTCAAAAGATAATGAATTTATTAAGGAGTCATTTTTTTTTTTTAAGGAAAACCATAATTATTTTTTACTGAATTCCTGAAAATTTAATTTTTAAAAAATGCCTAATTTCTAAAATATCAGAAGATATAATAAATATTAACATAATTACAATGAAAAATAAAACTGTAGTTATAATTTAGAAGATAAATTGAATGAATTTATAAATAAAACAAAACATTCACATATACGATTTTATTATTTATAATATAATAATTAAATACTTATCATTAGAAGTTATTGTTCATTAATAATGCTAATCGTTGACTTCTGATGACACTATTAAAATCTGGTTAAAATAAACAAAATGGCACAAATAAAGTACCATACTATGACTCATTTTTATTCATTGAAAACAAAATTGTTTCATTTAATCTGTGCTGCACATTTTTTATTATAATAAATTGTATAAGTTTTACTAAAATGAAAATATAGAATAATGCAATTATAAATTAGTTGCGTTTTTATCGTTCATAGATCGAATATAAGATTGTATTATGTTGACATGAGCATCACGCAATAACTTTTTAATAAATTCTATGAACATTTTTGCATTAAGTATGCAATGTTTTACTGAATCCGGTGAATCATCAAAGGGTACTTGTATATTATTTTTTGCGCAAAACGTATACAATTGATCAATTAAAGTCTTATCGTCTAAATTATCTAAATCTATTTTAGTGTGATTGTCTGGTAAAATATCATGTAACCTTGTTTCAATGATAAGTATTACCATTTTCACTCTTCCTGCAGCTTCGTCTAAATATTTAATATCTCTGTTTTTGAGAATGTTAATTATTTCCTCGATTTTTTTGTTACGGTCAACATTTTTAAGTAACGGCGTGAAGTGTGCTGTGAAGTCGGTTAAAATATTTGACATAACAAAATTGTTGTCTATAAATTGTTGAGACACGTTACTTTTGAAAAAACATTTATGAATATTCACCCAGGAGATGGATTTGGGTTTTTCAATTAACTCTTCGACATATAAAATATATTTCCAAGTAATTTTTAACATTATAAATTCAAACAAGTCGAGGAAACAATTAATGAATATTATATATTTACCAAAATCAAGTTTTAAATTTAGTTTTTCTATTTGGTGTTGTCGAATTTTATCTAATATGGATGAACCTTTCAAATGTACAGCAAATTCGTTAAGTAGTCTGTTCATCGACGTATCATTATTTATAACATTCTTCAATAAAAGTGTTTCAAGGGTAATCAAATTGCTGTTTGTTATATAAATTCCATTTAAATGATTATGGGTGATCAGTTGGTCTATTTTTGCTTTGTTTGCAACCGACAAACGAACCCTTATATGCAATAGACTTGGATTATTCTCAAGCATAATTATATCTTGACGACGATTTAAACCAATTTTTTGCCAATTGAAAACATTTTCTGGATCACAACTCTTACCAACAAACATATTCAATGATTTTTTGAGAGAGTAATGTGTAAGAAAAACATTTTTTTTGTCGAAGGATTTATCTGAAACAGCTGCCCATAAATAGTTGTCCAATTTTTCGAAATAAATAAGAAGTTCCCAAGTTTCTTTTAATAATGCGTTCAATTTTACACTGTTCAACATAGTGGCCAACATTAATTGTATTTCTTTTTTAAAAGAAAACTGCGTTACAGATTCCCTGTCCATCATATGACCTAAATTGTTATTAAAGCTTAAAAAATGTGATATTAAATTAAATTGAAATAAAACACAATATGCGTAACTACATAAGAGGTCATTATGAATTATCTCTATTTTATGATTAAAATGATCGACAGGTACTCTTTTTACATCTTTATTTTCGTGTAAAGATTTCATTTTATAACCTGTTTCAATTTTTTGCAACTGAAAAAATTCTTTTGCTTTTTCTTCGCACTTACATAGTGCCAAATTATCCACTAAAATAAATTTTATCACTATTAGTAATAACTGACGAATTAACGATACCTTCGATGTACTATGGATCATTATTATCAACAATTAACAATAAATACCACTGAAATTATTATAGTTTTCAATACGATTATTAAACTAAATATCAAATTATTAAAAAAATATAGTGTATAACATCATTAAAGTTAGTAGAAACTTTCATGTGAGCAATTTTTGATAAATTTACAACATCAATATATATTAAGTATGTCAATATGAACATTAATAACATAAAAACAATCTAATAAAAAATCATCATTAAAAATATTTCAATATTAAATAATGTGAGAAAAATTCGAAATATAATTGTGACAATAATTAGTGGATTTTAAAAGTTTTCTTATCAAAAGAGATTTTTTTTGATAAAATTAATAAGAAATATGTGGTACTACTTTATCACTATTCTTAAATAAGCCAAAAAAATATAGTGGATAAAAAAAATGTATTTGGATAATCTTAAGNTGTGGTACTACTTTATCACTATTCTTAAATAAGCCAAAAAAATATAGTGGATAAAAAAAATGTATTTGGATAATCTTAAGTATAAATCAGTGTAATGAATAATTAATAAAAAATATTAGAACTTTTTATTGATAAAATTAAAAATAATTTAATTAAATATATGCTATCTAAAATTGAATTTTTAACTTCATAAAATACATTTAAAAATAAAGTTGGTATACGAAAAATTGCAATAATACACATATTAATGTATGTCTTAATATTGTTTTTACAGTTTAAATATGCAAACATAAAAATTAAAATATTTTAAATATAGATGATGATTTCAATTATTTGCATCATCATCAACAACTTAAAATTAATTCATATGAAATTAATTTGAATTTTTAGTAATTTCTTTCAATTACGATTAAACTGAGGATAATCTCAAAACATTATTTGATGTTGATTTTAATTAATTGTTATTCGAAATTTAATTGATAAATAATAAAATTTAATCCAAATGTACTTCAATAAATTATTCAAAAAACATTTATTTAATAATTAATACCAAAATAATTTTATAACTAATAAAAATCCTCATACAAAAACTAAATTATTAATTTTTATGGAGCCATAGTCTAACATAATAATAATTGATGCAATAAAAGGTAGTCCTTTTTAGAAAAAACCTTTCATTTTTTTTTTTTTAATGACTAAAAAACAATTTTTAATTTTAGGTGACCCTAGGATAGACAAAAAATAATTTTTATAAAAATCTATATTTTAACTTCAACATTTTAAACTTTGAACTTTTAAATTTTGTTACTTACACTAATTAGCATCTTTTAATATTGAAAAAATTGTTCTAAGTTCAAAATTACGGTCACCCATAAACAAAAAAAATTATTGATACACAAGAGTTAATCAGTCTCTGAAAGGCTTTAAGATAAAAGAAATAATCATAATAGTAATTATAATATATAGAAATTATAATGATAATAATTAGTCAAAAACAAATTACTTGGTAGTAATTATTATGTATACATTATACATTATGGTAAATTGATAAATGAATTAATTACATCAAAATTTATTCCGCGGAAAGTATATTTTACATAATTAATGAATGTATCAATTCTAAGTAAACTGACATTCATCCAATAGCATAAATCATCTTCTGTCCAATATAAATCCTGTTTCAAGTTCGTTCTGTAGTATTTAATAAACTGGCTACTTGACTCATCGTCTTCAATTGATAAAGGTTCAGCTTCAATATTAAAGGCGAATTTTAAAAGGATTTCTTCCGATGCTTTTCTTATTTCTTCGATGATCTCCTTGGAAGCTGATCTAATAAATGTGTTTTTTTTAGGACTTCCAATTAAATTAAAAATTTTTTTTAAATGTTCATCATTTTCTAATTTAAAGAAGTCTATGAAATTATTTAAATGATTATACAGTAAAAAATTATAATATGGTAATAGGAATACTAATTTCGACAAATAAAAACTAGTTGCTTTGGCAGATGGTAAATCCGTTATGTATATGTAGTGTTTCCATATAATTCTTAACACTATAATTTTCATAAAATTAAAAAAATCTAATTGAAATTTACGTAGCATATTTATTTGGGTATCTATATTTGCTTCTCTTAACACAGAGTTATGATTATCTTCCATTTTCTTAAAAACTCCCGTCAAATCCATTTTAATGGCAAAGAAGTCTTGTAATTTTGTTTTAAATGAATTTCTTTTGAAAACATCTTTGAGATACAAGTTCTCTTCAGAAAAAAATACATTACCATCAGTTGATACACCAAAACTTTTATTGCGTTCTATTAAACTAGTTATTTGTTGTTTATTCATAACAATAAAACGCACCGCTTCATTCCAATGATCTCTGAGGTTTTCACTGTAAAATTTTTCATAATTTATTTTAAACTTTGAACTTTCATGCTTGATATTGAAAGAATTTTCCTTGCGACAAAAATTGTTTACTAATGAAGTTAAAGGCATTATTATACTTTGTAATGAGCCAAATATTGTTGGACACATCATTTGTGACTGATTGGTATATTTTAAAGATCTAATACAGTTATGCAACACTGACATAAATAAATGAAGTATCCAAAAAATTCTTATATAATTGTTCAATTTTAAGTTGTACATAGTGGTCAGTAATAATCTCGATTGATTTTCAAAAGATAAATTTGCCATAAGAATTTTTTCGTTCGGTACCATCTCATAAATTCGATTTCGATGCTTAAGAATTTTTTCGACCATTTCCAGATGCAACAGGGCACTAAAAGAATACCCACATACAAGGTCTTTGTAACTGTGATTAACTGCGTTGATAAGTTCTTGGTCGCTAAAATCATTAACGTTGATAATTTTGTTAGGGATACTGTACCCTGTTTGAGCATAAAATAGCTTTGAATATAACACTTCTAAAGATGCACGTAAAGTTTCATTTGGTTTCATAGGCAAGAATGTAGTTATGACGGTTAATAATTCACTTACGTTCATTTCGTATTATTTTATTTGATATAAAACTATTGTAACTATTAGTTGATAATTGAATGTAGTTTTTATAAACTACAAAATATATATAAGACATATGGTTGGCGAGAAATATTATTTTCATTTTATTCAATGACGCGAGTGTGCATTTATTTTTGTGCAACCATTAAGTGCTTTACTTAATATCACTGATAAGTGTTTTTTTAAAAAATTAATGTTAATACAAATAAAATAATGTATATTCATGTTATAATAAAATTTTTAAAGAATAAAAAGGATGTTAAGCTATATTTTATATAATTGTATTTAAAATGTCCATTTGATTTTATAAAATTACAAGTACTTTCAATTAAACACGCTATGTTATGAATTCCCTGCGGCTTATTTCACCAGGAAGACAAAAATAATTTGTTTAGCTATAGTATACATTTTAATGTACTACGTATATGTAAAAAAAAATAATTAGTAGTAGCAGTAGCAGACAGCTTAAACAATAAAATGTCGTATTGATTGTTTAAACTTATCCGTAACTATATGAGTTTACTAATTACTTTTTGAATCTAACACAGTACACGAATTTCTTGATTATACGTCCGCATTAAGGATGGGAAAATTGGCTTAGAAAGCTAATAGTCCAACCATATAATATTGATCATTGGCTAATAAATATGGGACTATTAATTACAGTAACTCTCGCGATAAAAAATAATGAACATTTAGTTTTGTTCTTATCAAACAATATATATATATATATAATTATGATAATATACATGTAGATGTATAAAGTATAGTGTTATGAAAGCTATACATGAGATGAATATTGTGTAATTATCGATTTAATAATTATTAAATCGATAATTGATTATAATTAATTATAATGGAATTAATGAGCATTTTTTCGTATAAAAGAGCGTGGAATCGTTGATAAAATCAGTGTTAAGCTCATGGCGAACGTAAAACAACTCAACGTTTGGTCAACGCCCGCTATTTTTGGCCAGGTATGAACGCTGAAATTGCTGAATGGTTAAAGACGTGCCTGCAATGCCAACGCAGTAAAATCTGGTAACCAGATCGGCGTTTTGGCCACATTAACTTGGACATTGTCGGACTGCTGCCACCTTCGAAAGGAAACAAATACATCATAATATGTATTTCGTACGAAGCAGTTAGATCGTAGGACGGCTAGTTGTGCCTTGTACTAGAATGCCGTTTTACCTTATGCCTGTTTAAATCGCTATTATTGAAGCGGTGTTCAAAAATTACGCGTATTGCCCGGTAAAGCTCCACGTAGCTTATAATCACCCATTCTCCCTCTCGTAACTTGACCAACGACAGTCATAGTAGTCGTGTCCGGCACTATCGATACCTAGGTCATTAAGTACGTGTACGTGTTTGGAGTTGTACCGTACCATTGGGTCCGTTAACTTGTAGCCAGTGATCTGGCGTGTTTTTATTTGTTATTGGTTGTTTGTATCGGCCTGTTTAGGCGGCAACCAACAGTTCCTTTCATCCGTTACGTGCTACTACGGTAGTGCACAACGGAAATCAAGATAAGCGAAAGCTGGCATTTCATATTTCAAAGTAGAATTAATTGGGAAGCATTCGGCAGGTTTCCAACATCAAATGACAGTATGGTTGGCTAATGGCTGGGTGATGTTTTACCATTTGTTTTGTTAATGTATCAATATATTGAATCTATTAGTTTATGTATGTATATATAATAAAAATACTGTCTGTAATCAACCTTTAGTGGATTATCTTCTCGTTGCTTGCCTATTAAGAGTAGCAGAAAACACTCAACCCGTCATTTATAATAGTTAATTAAGTTAATGTTTATATAAAGTATTGAAAGGTCTCTCTGGGACCTAGATTTCAATTATATTATTATTATACAATAATTAAATAACAAATAACCATATATATTAGAAGTTTATCAAAGAGTATCTTAAATTTAAGGGGTAACGGGAGGGCCCTTAAATACTATTAACCGGCGAAGTGGCATAAAACAAAATAGTTAAACTCAATTAAACAAATAATAAAGAACATTAAAATATAATATAAAAACTCAGCTGAATAGATGAAGTTGTTGATAGTGATGAGTGAACTGTATGAGATCTTGTGCTAATGGTGTCAAACATCTGAGTATCACGAGACAGAGTGTAGATCCAGGCACGAATGACAGATGAAAACAAATTGCGAACAAGTGACTACAGAAATGAAGTTATTTAGTAATGGTCTGGGCCCAATCACTGGTGGCGTGCAATGGCATGAGAACTTTGAGCACAAGGGTGCAGTAAACAAATAAAAATAACGGCGTACAATGGCCGAACAATTTACCATTCAAGAAAAGGAGTGTGCTACATAAAAAAAGATGAAACAAGAAACAATTGACTTACTGACTTACGGCAATGAACTGTAAGTGGATGACAGTTGACACGGAGGCCATCGATTTGCCATGCTGGGTGGACAAGGGGATGAGTAAAGCAAAGACGCTAGAGATCAGTTGTCACACGATATAATATAATAATCGGTGTTTGTGACATCTGGTCCACTAGGTCTTTGTTAGAGGCGTTCTCTACCAAACAACATGCATAGACCGTTTCACCCGTTAGCCAGAAGCATGGACAATATGTTGCTCATACGTCACTACTTCACTCGTCACAAACTGGATTTCGCGTTTCGGGCTACCTGATCTTATAACGACGGACCAGGGACGACAATTGGAATCAGAACTGTTCGGGGCACTAGCGAACACGTTCGGAATACGGCATATACATACATCACCTTAACAACCTCAGTCAAACGGTATGGTTGAAAAGTTCCATCGTACGATAAAAGCCGCTCTCATAGCACACGGGTCAATCAGCTGAAGTGGGAAGCTACCTGACGTGTTGCTCGCGTTAAGATGTACCGTGATAGAAGAAATCAACGCGGCCCCGGCAGATTTAGTGTACGGTTTGTCACTACACCTTCCGAGCGAACTCTTTCTCTAAGAACATGCAATAATTCACCCACCGGACCTAGTCAGTAAGTTAAAACAAGCTATGTCTGAGTTGCGGCCGACGGCGGGAACTAACCACGATACGCACCGCGCCATTTTTGTACCTAAGTCAATGAAATAGGTCAGCCACGTTTTTATTCGTATCAGCGATGTTCAACCGCTCTTACAGACAAAATATGAAGGACCTTTCACGGTGTAGGAACTTGGAGATACAGAGTTCAAAGTATAACCTGCAAACACAATTCCACGGATATATGTTGATCGCTTAAAGTCTACTTTCATGCTGCTTGAGGACCCACTGTTTGACCATTCATACACCACTCAGACAGTGGAAGTGCTAACAAAAAAACGAGTTCGGTTTTTCTTTACCAGGGGGAGTACTGTGGCTGCCACTAGCCACCACCTTATCTAATCATTCAGTGCTACCGTTTTATGTCACTTGAATTGTTATTGTTTGTAAATTTATGTGTTATGTGATCGTCCATGCCCATGTACCTTTGTGATTGTATATTTAAATTTATTAATTTAACCGTCCACCATCCGTCAGTTCCTGTTCCGATCGCTGAGGAAATCGACTTCCTTATTATTAATATTTTTTCGATTGTTAATATTATCGGTGTTGTTTATAAAATATTTTTATTATCAATTTTTAATGATTAATAATAAACTAAAATAAAATCATATAATTTTATTTTATTTTAATAAAATAATTATTCAAAAGTTTACAAATTAATTATGGAAATTGTGGTTAATTATAAAACATAAATGTAAAACAAAATTTAATTTTATTAACATTTAATGAGTTTCAATTGATATTGGCATTGGAGGCTCTTCGTCTGTTGCTTTAAATTCCAATTCTAAATTCATAAAAAAAAAAAATTCATTATATATTGAATTGATATTTTAATTAATATTTTTTTACTTCAAATACCTAATTTAATTAACTCCTTTGGTGTTGGTACAAACGTTTCTTCGGTTATTGGATCAAATTTAAATCCGAGTTGAAAATACTTTTGTATAATTACTGTCTGGATATAATTCTTCATTTTTTTGGTTAAAAATTTGAAAAATATTAATTTAAAGCCTTGATCTATAACGGTTTTGTACTCTTGATTCCATTCATTCCATAAATAATTCGTATCAAATGGTACAAATTTACAATATTTACTAGTGTCATAATTTATATCTATCATTATGTTTTTCAAAAATTTATCTAGAGTGTTTAATATCCAAATGTATGAAGAAATATCATTACGTGATAGAATTTGTTCGGTTAAATCACCAAGTTCATTTTCAATTTTCCCTAAATGAGGACTTATCATGTAGGTCCTTATTTGTAATGCCAAGGGTTTAATATGTAATAAATCCAAATCATCCATGGCTCTTTTCATCAATGTTGCTAGTGGAACAATTAATAAGGATATTATATTTATGAGTTCTTCGGTGAAAAGGCAACCATTAATTAAATCGTTTTCTTCATTCATTTTTTTTTGACAAATTTGTATCATATTGCTAATAATTGAAAAAAGATTATTAATAACATTTGCGTATGTGCATCCAAGATATACTGTTAAACATCGTATTTTTTGCTTACTTTTATTACGATCTTTGGTTGTTTTAATCAAATTTTGAAGATAATACATTTTACTGGTATGTTTTATAAAGATCAATTCATTTAAATTTCTCCATCCTGAATACTGTAGTAACTTATTAAACTGATTATGTTTATCTTTTAAAATTGAATATGCTTTTATATACAAAATCACAGAAAGTAAAATAAAACCAAATTTGGCAAGTTTTAATGAAATCATTTGGAAAATAATTAATTTTAATTACTACTGAAATTTTTGATCAAAATATCATTCGTTAAAGTAATAAAGGACACTTATATATATTCTATTTTACATTTATAAATAACAAAATAAAAATTAATAATAAAACATCTGTTGTTTTAAAATAAATTTCTTTAAAATTTTTAACTTTAGAATTATTTAACTAACTAAACATTTGCAGACAAATGTTCAATTTTTGTTAAAATATTATAAATAGTAAATAATAAAATTATAAATAATTTTAAAATATAAATTAGTATAATTTAAACAGTTCAGAAATTAGTATTTGATAATATTTGACAAATTCTACTAACTAAATATAATTGACCGATTGTTAACAATTTTTGAATCAATATTTTATAAGATATTACTATTTCTATACAAAGGAGCCAGATTTTTTTTAAATCATAAAACAAGAGATTGTGCTATGTTATATTATTATTATCACATGTATATGAATAAAACAAAAATCTACTAAGGAATGTTTTTTTGAAAATCATAAAACAAAAAATAGATTTTATTTCTGAAAAAAATAAAAAATAAATATATTTTATATTTTGAATTTTATGAGGCAATTAAATGTTACAATGATGCTGCCGAACATGGGGTAAAGTTAATGGAAAAATTCAAGACCTGGTTCACTAAAAATGAAAATCAAAAGCAGTATGTGTTGAAAATATATTCTTAAGTAACAATTTTTTCGAAAAACTAAAGTTACATTGCAATTTTAGCTTCGATGCGAAGCTGAGAAGATATTAATTTTATCATGATGTGTTCTTTTAGCTTCGGTGTAAAGCTGAAGAAGTATTAATTTTACCATTATGTGTTTTTTTTTTATGTCTGTTGCCACATTTTATCAGCTCTCAATGGACCTATTTCTTTCAACAATAGGTCAAATAATCGAAAATTGTATCTAGTTGAAGACATTACCTTCAAAAATGAAAAAGTTTTCCCTCGTTCCCCGCAAATGAGGGAAATCTCTAAAAAAAATACAATATTAAAATCTGTAAATTTTGACACTTTTTTTCTTAAAACTTCCATAACTTTTTCAAAAATCAACATCATTTTTATTATATTAAAACCTTAGATATTTTATTTTCATTTGACATTTTTTTGAAAATCAAACACTTGTTCTACTCACAGGGGGGATTTAAAATAATAACTTTTTTACAAAAACTAACTTTTTCAACTTAACTTTTGAAAATGTTCCGGAAATACTGCGTCCTTTAAACATACATCAAATCAAATTTTATGTCACGTACTATAAAAAAAAAAAAAAAATAACAGCTATAGTTGAACCGTTACGTGATCAAGTCAGCAATTTTATTTTTAATTTTTACTTTTTATATAATACAATTTTAAAATACTTCTAAATATATTTTCAATTTACATAAATAGTTATTTTCTAAGATAAAAATACTATCATTTGTTTAATATTTTATATTTTAGCTAATATTTTTTTTAATCGAAATTATTATTATTGTACTTCAAAATTATAAAATATATAAAACAAAATAAAAATATGAGATGCTAACTTCATCATGCAACACTTCATTAATAGATTTTAATTCTCAATTAAGTTTATAATTATTATAAAGTTCACTGAATAATTATATTGATCCATACATCTTTCAAAAAGTTATAGCATTATAATACATTATAGCATTATTATAGCATTAATTATTTTTTTTATAGATGCATGATGTCTTTACCTATCATTTGGTNAGATAAAAATACTATCATTTGTTTAATATTTTATATTTTAGCTAATATTTTTTTTTATATCTGACCATTTACCTGCCCACAGGGGGGGATTGAAAATTACAACTTTTTCACAAAAAATTTACTTTTTCGACTAAAATTATGAAAGTCTGACACTTTTATATATATCTTAAATTAAAGCTAATGTAATTTACTTTATTATGCAAAAAAAAAATTTCGGACTTTATTTTGTCTTCACGGTGAAAATGGCTACCAAATGCTATTATTGTGTGAAAATTCGCGATTTTATTTTTTACATTTTTAACATTATAATGCTATAACTAATTGAAAAGTATATGGATCAACATAATTTTTTTTTGAGAAATAATATTTTTTAATATTCCTTTTTCATTTGACATAATTTATCTTAATTAGGATATTAATAAAAAACTAGAAGATCATGTAGCTTTTGGAATAATACACCATTTTTTTAAAATTAAACACTATCTAAAGATTTGCATCGAAGCGTCTTTTTTTGATAGTGATTTTAATCACTGTCAGATATCATTATATTTGATCCAACTATGGATTAAATATAAATAAAACTATTTAAAAAATGAAAAAAAATTATTTTTCGTGAAAATAGTTTATTTTTAACCTTCTAACCACAAGGTCAAATGAAGTTACATATAACACAAGGTGGGGTGTTTCCATACCCCAGGCATTTCTTATTATGATTGATGGGTGACATACAATTATTTAAAAAATAAAATGTTGTAAAATGTTTTCCAGCACTTTTAATTCAATTCCCTTTAGATTTTGACGTTTTCTTTGAATAGCAACTTAATATGAGAAAGGTTTCTTTCATTATACTTTTTATACATTTCCGAGGACACCAAACATTTTTTAACGCGCATAATTATACTTGACTAAGTATTATAAATAATTAGGATCATTTATTACAGGTTGGTGATTAAAAAAAAAACTTTTATTCAGAATATAATATTAATTTCTTTCCTTGTAACACTAACAATATTAGAAAAAAAATTAGACCAACATATAAAATTTATAAAATAACTATATCAGACTAGTAACATCAAGAAAAAAAATTAAACTCTACTTATAAAATATAAAAATAATTAAATCAGACTAGTATCATCAGGAAAATCTTCAAAACATTTATAACAGTACTTAGTTACCCTCTCATGCTCTTTGCAAATCGGTAATTTGCATTTTGAACAGGAACCGTTGTCCTTTTGTCCTTCTTTCGATCGCAAAAGTTGCACCGCTTATATTTTTTAGAACCTGTCAGAGGCTGCTCTGTCGCAGAAGGAACTGCTATACCCAAAACCTTCCAAATGTCATCCTTAAGTGTCCTAGGGAGCTTCTCATTATTGATTACTATTTCTGGCTTTTCTGTAGTTGTATTTACTTCTCCTGTATCGTGCATCGTGCTCAATAAAAAGACGTTATTATTATTTTTTTGATAGTAGGAAACCAATGTTTTGTCTGGCTGATATACAAACTTTGACGAATTCAATGGTATACGTGTTACTGAAACCATGGATGGTGGAATTTCCTAAATCTAGTCCAAATTTCCCGAAACGCTGCAAATTTATCATTTATCTTCCTTTCCTTCCTAGTAACTTTACTATCAAACCTTAAAGTATTAAACAGGAATTCAAATCTATTTCTGGATATAAAAGACCGAAATAGTGGCGGGCCAAAAATATTTGAGTACATATCGCTAATGTTAAGTCCTGAGTCTTTCAAAACACCACTAAAAAAAAGGAGGCCAAGCAAAGCTTTTATTTCAAGTTTTTCTGTGGGCCCAATATACCACTGTTGACTTGTAAAATTTACTGCCTGACGTGTGATTTCCTCATTGGTGTATTGGACAAGTTTGTCCAATATAAAATCATCAAAAAAACAACGCCGATTCATTATTTGCAGTCTTAGCAGGGCCTCTTGGTCCAGGAAGATGGCTTACGAGGTTCCGCGCAGGAACTCTAGTTCTCTTATTTTTCAAGGTTGTTGTGGTCCATATCGTTTCTTCATCTTTCCCCAAAATAAAAATTCTATCTTCAGATGATGTCGGCAGATTAGCATTTCATCACCTTCATCGATGACAAAAAAATCGTCAGGTACGTTGTCATCATTTGACAAGACCAAATCTTCATTCTCGCTCTCCTCTCCTTCATTATAAATTGTTTTCTCTTCACGTTCATTATTGTCAAGCCTATGCAGCTCTGCCAAAATGTTCTCGGGACAAGTGAACAGTAGTAGTCTTTTAGCCATTTGCACAAAATGTCATGAAAATTGAGAATAAAATATAATAATGAGGTATAAAGATATATAATCAAATGTAAAAATATGTAATATTAATATTTATAATATATTACTAAGTGATAATATTAATAATAAGTAGATAGTTTATACAAAAATATGTAGCATAAACAACAAGTTGGGTACCAGCGCACCCCAAAACATTTTTTTTTTTAGAAAGTAAAAAAAAATGAAGGTAATACTGACCATATAATACGATGCTACAGCACCAACGTCCACAAGACAACTGATAACGAGGCTACTGAGATCCTCACCACTACTTGAAGTAGTAGACCGCGCATGCGCATGAAAACAACTCCTTGGGGTGCGCAAACATCCTACCTTGTGGTGTGAGGGTTAATTTTATGCTTAAAGGTCAGTGATACAAATATTTTTTTTAAGGACTTTTTATTTTACTAATATGTTTTCCTACAAGATTGATTCCATTCTTTTTTTGGCATCTTAATATTTAAAAAGATGTATGCAGAATACTATATTTCTTTCCCTTTTCGTCACTTTACTACTTCTTTGAGGGTTGACTTACAATTCTCAAAATTTATGGAAAATTTGTATTTACCACATAGAACAAAATGTTATGTCATCTATGAAACGATCAGCGACTTCCTCCGGTTTGCTGTTTTTTTTACCTCTGTATATTTTAGGCATTGTTTGAATATTATACTATTCTAACAACTCTTTAGGTGTTCGATGTTCTTATTTTTTTTCCCATGACTCAAATTTTAACATCCTTCTTCGGGCATACAGGTAAAAACGAATTATTTTCACCGCAAATTTTTTATGTTCTTTCAGTGCTTAAACACTATGTGGTTTATACTTATTAAGTATAAAGTTAAAGTTTGTGTTAATACCAGGGGCGAGAAATTATATCACGCTTACTCAGTGATTAATAAGAAAGGATTTTAGGACATTTATATTTGTTTTGAAAGAAGACTGTGGTCGCTAGTTCACACAAAATTGC